CAGAAACTGCTTAGAGTCTAGTGTTCTGATCCATTAGGACAGGGGACTTGGGAAGACAACAAAGAAGAGAAAAGCCAGTGACAGTGCTCTGTGGTGGCTAGACAGGATGCAGACCATGTGGAGACAGGGGTATGTCATGCTTGTCCCTCAACAGATCAATCAGCCCAGCCTCTGTTCTTGGATATGACTATGAGCTATGATCACACCTGGGCTATGGTTCCAAGGCTCAAACCCAGGAAGGCACAAATGGAGGAGTACTTGGGTACTGCAGTCACCAGGATGTGCCCTAGGACCACGACCTGAGAGTTTTTACTTACAGCACAGCAGTGCCCATCCTGGATTCTGCAACCCTGTAGCTCACAAGCTTCAAAAAGGACTCAGGTGTTCAGGGTTCAGATTTGGCTAGGTGGAGCCTGCCGCAGGGGCCCCTTCAAACAGCTGTCACCAAAGAAACCTCTCCAGCCAGTTACTCCTGCCAGGCCTCGGGTCTAGCTCCAGGGCTCACCCCACCCTCCTCCACTCCTTCCCTCCCTCTTCCTTTCCTTCACCATCCCCCCCCCAAAGCTTTACCTGCCCAGGACAGCCCCACCCAGCTGTGTAGGACACATCCCATAATAATCCTCACTAGCCCCCACCCCCCCAAAGAGAGGCGGCCATCCCATAATAGCCACCCACAAGAGACATTCCGCGGTGACCGCCCCCTCCCTGCAGAGCTGCTGGGAGCAGCCATCCCATAATAGCTGGCCGCCTGTTTTACTGGTTACGGCTGTGGAGGGAGCTGGAGAGGAAATGGAGGGAGGGGGGAGGGGAGGAGGACCAAGCCCCCACTTTGTGGAAGGGAGGGAGGAGAAAGAGTGACATAAGGGGTTTGGTGCAGGTGGAAGGTGGGAGGTGGGAGCCACTGGCCATCACAACCCTGTTGTGCTGTGAGCCCTTCTCCCCATTCCCGAGGGGTTACCTTTTCTCCTCCGCACCCTGAGCTAGCTGTTAGTCAGGGGAGATGCCTAGGATGGGTTGAGGTGACCAAAGTGTGTGTGTGTGTGTGTGTGTTCAGGTATCCAGGTGTTCTCCTTGGGCGGTTGGAAGGAGGAGACTGACCTTAGAAGGGTGAGAGAGTAGGGGGTGAGGAGGCTGGGGGGCTGAAGAAGAGCTCAGGCCCTCCCCATTCTGCACCACCATCCCATAATAATCCCCCAGCCCCACTCCCCCTCCCACACACGACATCCCATAATATCTTCTGGAGAAGCAGTCCCCGCAGTAGGTACAAAGAGCTATCCCATAATAAGCTCCCCCACCCCCCACTCACACCCCCCCAACTTGGCCCCCCCCTCAGTCACATGCAGCCGGTGCCATCCCCCGCTGCTCCCCCCTCTGGCCACCGAAGGCCTTGCCAGCCCATAATACTCTTGCCTCTGGTCGCAGGAGGCCTCCAGCCCATAATACTCCCTTCCACCACTACCCCCCCTTCCCGCCCCGCACCCCTTCCTCCCGCCTCCAGTTGGAGCCGGGCCTCACCAGCCCATAATATTCCCCAGTCTCCTAAGGCTCTTCCAGCCCATAATACTCTCCCTGTCTCCTAAGGCCTCTCCATCCCATAATACTGCCAGACGCCTGACCTGTGGGCCAAACCCCAGCCCGTTCCACACATCGAGGCTGTGTCAGCGCAGCCGGCCTCCCTCCCAGTCCCTCCTCCCTCCCCCGGTCGGCGCTTTCCCTCCCGGGCTCTCGCCCGCCCTCCTGCCCTGGGCCCCTCTCCCAGCCCCACCCCGTGCCTGCCTGGCCCTCACTTCCTCTCAGCCTCCTCTCTGGCCCTTTCTCCACCGTTGGTTCTTCATCCTATCCTCTGCCTTTCAAGCACTTCTACCGCTCAGTCTGAAGGATGGTCATCAGCCTCCTGGGGCGAGAGTGCCCCCAGAGGGCAACAGGCCAGTCACTGCCCTGAAGGCTGCGTGCCTGACCCAGCACCATGGAAACGTGCCCAGCCTGCCTCCTTGCCAGTTCCCCTGGCCCTAGCCTTGGTTGCCAGCAGGGCTGGGTGACGATTCACCTGGAACCCTTGCTGTCCTGTAGAAGCAAACAGCATCTCCTTGGTCCCATATATAGCCTTATTGGAAAGACAACTCCCATTTATGGAGCTTCTAAAGTGCCTTTCAAGTGATCACATTGACCCTCCAGACCAGCCCAGAAGTAGATTATTTGAGTCCCCTTTCACAGAGAAGAAAACAGAGCCTCAGAGGGGTTAATTGGCCAAAATCACGTTGTCAAGAAGTGACAGCTGAAATTAGTGCCCAGGTTTGTTTGATTCCAAAGTTCTGAAAGCCTTTGGTTTTCCCCAAACCCTGTGTAAGAAACTTCACTCTTCCAGTGTTCTTCTGGAAAGGATAGCATGTGAGAATTATCCTAGATTCTCCTCCAGGACCTTCTGAAAGAACGCCTGGTGTGAGATTTACACTCCCCATTCTTCCATGGGACCCCAGGTGACAACCTGGCAGAGATTCCCTTTAAGTTCACAACCAAGAAGGAAATATCTCTGTCCTGCTTCTTCTTGAATTTATATTTCAAGACCTGTTACTGATATTCCTTCCCAACTCTTCCTATCACATGGAGGCACCATCCTATAGAGCAGACAGACTGAGAACCAAGGGACTGTCTCCTGCTGAGTTGGTGGACAATTAAGAGAACTGCCATGGGATGTTGGGTTCGGGAGGGAGTCATGGAGTCTAAGCCATCCTGCCTATGTGTGCCACTGACCACAAGCTACTGATTCCTGGGCTCTATGTGGTGTGGTTAGGGACCAACACAAGGGGAACCATGAATGAGCCTGGCCAAGGCAAGTTTAAAGGGAAGGGTGATGAATGGGTTGGATTAGGAACATGGAAGAAGAACTGGGAAGAGCCAGGCAGAGATGATACTGCAAACCAGCAATTGGGAGAGGTGGCTTATGTGAGGAGGGAAGAAGAGAACAGGCAATGGAGAATAGATGTAACAGAAACAGAGATGGGGAGGGTAGAAGAGGAGATGCTACAAGAGTAGGAATTTGGAAGCCAAATAGAGATGGAGCCACTTTCTAGTTGTGTGACCTTAAGACCTCAGATTCTCCCTATGTTTTATCTGTGAAATGGGGATAGTCATCATCCCTTCCTCACAGGGCCATCGTAATAATTAAATGAGACATCCTAGCAGGGTGTGGTGGTACATACCTGTAATCCCAGTATTCTGGAGGCTGAAGCAGGAAGATCACGAGTTCAAGGCCATCCTGAGCTACGCAGCAAGAATCCGTCTTTAAAAAAAGAAGAAGAAGCGGGCACTGGTGGCTCACGCCTGTAATTCTAGCTACTCAGGAGGCAGAGATCAGGAAGATCTCAGTTCAAAGCCAGCCCCAGGCAAATAGTTCTCAAGACCCTATCTCGAAAAATCCATCACACACATAAAAAAAGGGGGCTGGCTGAGTGGCTCAAGTGGTAAGAGCACCTATCTAGCAAGCATGAGGCCCTGAGTTCAAACACCAGTACCGCCAAAAAAAAAAAGCATTTTTGAGATCCTGGTGTACAGAAGCTTTTTTTTTTTTTTTTGAGATAGGGTCTATGTTGCCCCACCAAAAAAAGGGGGTAAGCTGTGGATTAAATCTAGAGCCCTCACCCATGTTCAAGGCCATTTTTTTTTTTTTTTGGTGGGACTGAGGTTTGAACCCAGGGCTTCATGCTTGCAAACCAGGTACTCTAACACTTAAGCCACACCTCCTGCCCATTTTGCTATGGTTATTTTGGAGATGAGGATCTCACAAACTGTTTGCCCAGGCTGGCTTTGACCTTCGATCCTCCTGATCTCAGTCTCCCAAGAAGCTAAGTTTCAGGCATGGGCCACTGGCACCCAGTTTTGGCTCCTTCTTACTGCACACTCAGTAATTGGAAATTCTGTGAAAATGGTGGTGGCTCAGGTTTTCTTGTTCAGTGGTACTGGGGTTTAAACTGAGGGTCTCATGCTTGCCAGGCAGGTGCTCCACCGCTTGAGGCACACCCTCAGTCCTTTTTTTGCTTGAGTTATTTTTCAGTTAAGGTCTTGGGCTTTTTGTTTGGGGCTGGCATAGAGATCTTCTTCCTATGCCTCCTTGGTAGCTGATATTTCAAAGGTACACTACCACGCCGAGCTTGTTTGTTGAGATAGGAGCCTTGCTAGCTAACTTTTTTTTAGATGTGAGTTACTATGCCTGGTTTCAGGTTTTCTTTTTAATTTCTTCTTCTTCTTTTGTTGTTGGTACAGGACTTGAACTCAGGGCATTGTGCTTGCCAGGCAGGTGTTCTGCCACTTGAAACCTTCAGGTTTTCTTAAACCTCCACGGCCTGTTGCTTGTCAGGTTCTGTTCATTCCCTCTGCCTGCAACATCTCCTTAATCTGTTCTTTCCTCTCTGTTCTTGTTGTGGAAACCCTTTGGATGTCTGAATGTGAGCAAGCAGTCCACCCGAGTTTTAACACCAGTTTTCAGTCTGGAGATGACCCATTTCCGTCTGCTTTTTTCACAGACCATAATCAATCACCCTTCTCTGGGAACTATTGTAATAGATCCCAGACCATTTTTTTCCCTTAGCAGTCTCTCTTTCTTATAGTTTATCCTACATATTATGTCTATGTGAGCAAAACCTCACTCAAGAACATTCAGGGAAGTCCGGTGCCAGTGGCTTACCCATGTAATCCTAGCTACTTGGGAGACTAACATTGAAAGGATCTGTGTTCAAAGCCAGCCAAAGCAAATAGCTCATGAGGCCCCCCCATCTCCAAAATAACCAGGGCAAAATGGACTAGAGGTGTGCCTTAGGCCATAGAGTGCCTGCTTTGTAAGCACGAAACCCTGAGTTCAAACCCCAGCCTCACACATACACACACAAAGAACTTTCAGAAACCTTCCATTGCCCACTAAAACTAACTACCAACACCTCCCTGAGCCTTCCATTTTGCATTACAGTTACTATTATTCACCTGTTCTATGGTCTCCACTAGACAGGAAACTACTTCACAGCAATATCTGACTGTTCATTCAGCAAATTTTTATTGAGCATTCCCTCTGTGTCAGGCACTGTTCTAGATGTGAGTGGATACATCAGAGAACCAATCAAACAAAAATCCCTGCTCCCGTGGAGCTTAGATGGGGGGAGACCAACAAATAACATCAAAATTGGAATAAATAAATAAGCAAAGTATACAGTATGTTAGAAGGTGATACATGCTGGGGTGTTTTTGGAGATATCATTGAAGTTTTGGTTTGTTTTTTTAATACATGCTGTTTTAATTATTTTGTAATTCCCTCATGTCTCTACATGTGAAAGTACTCAAGTATTTTAAAGTTTTTTTTTATGTTTTTACTTGTTTAGTTTTATGGTGCTGGGATTGAACCCATGGCCTTCTGAATCCTGACTGTGCACTTTTCCACTGAACTACACTCTTCGCCCCTCAAGTAATTTTTAAAGATTGTGTTCTGTTCCATTTGGGTAGGTCAAAGTCCTGAGAGTTTGGTATGTGAAGTTTGTGTTCTCCAATCAAGAAAAGCACAGGTCTTGAACCCAGAGGATGAAGGAAGATGAAGCAGGTGCTAACCACCTGGTCTCCTTTAGAGCAGCTGGAGGTAAGGGCATGGTCAGGTCTCTAACTTCCACCTGATAGAGAAAGGCCAGGACTTCAAAGCATTCAGAGAACTCTAGATCAGTTCCCTAGTTTGGCCACCAGGGGTCATTTTACCCCTGTAAATCACCAATCTTGTAGGCACACAATAGACTTACTCTGAGCTAAAACACAGACACACATGGGAAAACCCTCTCACACACACACACACACTCCCCTACGCACACCCTTTCCTTCACACACAAACACATACAGAATTGAGAGACATACAAACTAAAATCCATACAAGACACATGCATGGCAGCAGCTCATACTAATGTCAGGTTCTGAAGATGTCACAGTGCCAACTCTGCAGTCCTTCCCAGCCCCCACTTGGGTAAAGAGGAAAGGAAACCATTTTTGCTTGCCTTCAGCTTGCTAAGACCAGACAAACTATTCTTGTCTTCCCATTTCACTCTTACTTCCTTGTAAACTCTTCTCTACTGGATGTGGTGCAGTTCCTTTGTCCCTCCCCAGAGGTGCCCCACTCCTGAGTATTTGTGTGTCTGGTTCCACAGTCCCCCCAGGGCTGCTGTTCTGGTAAGCCCAAGGTGGTGTTTCATTTGGTGTACAGCTCCTACCTGCCCCTAGAAAGCCCAAGATTGAGGACTACCATTAACAATTAGATAAGCATTGTCCTCTCCCCACAGTCATAAAAAACACTGTTATCTAGTAATGCCCTGGAAGAAGTTAGACAGGAGCCCTTAATACTTTAGCACAAGTTTGGTTCTCAAAGTGTGATCCAGGGACCAGCTCTTTGAAGAAGCCCATGAGGTCAAAATGATTTCCATAATACTACTAAGATGCCATTTGTCCTCCTCACTCTCATTCTGTCACAAGTATACAGTGGAGATTTCCAGAGGTTTCATGAAATGTGATAATATGACCGCTCTCACAATTAACGAATGTGTGCTTGTGTATTTCCATGTTTGAAAAATGTACTAGGTTTAGTTTCTAACATAATAAGTATGAAAAGAACAAAGACTATGAAATGCTCTGTGACTCAGTTTCTACCAGCATAAAGGGATCTGAGATCACAATGCTTTAAGTGCCAAGAATGTTCTCCTTTCTCTGGACAAAATAGAGAAAGAGAGAGAGAGAGAATATGAGTGAGAATGAGAATGATTTTGAAGGAATCCAATTCTGTCTATATCAAATAAACCCTGGAATTATGCTTCTCTGCTGAGCAGGAGAAGCCAGGTGGAGGTGAGAGCAGATGACATCCATGTTGCTAAGGTTAGTACAAAAGGCAGTTTGGTCCACCAAGGACTAGGGATCTTCAGCTCTCAGATCCTGTGCAGCCTAAATCCAGGACATCCATTTTCTGTTCCACCCAGTGCTCTCAGCCATGGGCAGGCTCATGGTATCACTTCCCACCCCCTGGAGAAGGGTCCTCTGTTCTTCCCCAACAATTTACAGAAGTCCTTGCCAGCAGCACTCTTCCTTGCCTCTGCCCTTGCTTCCATACTTTGTTCTTCTCTACAGTCAAGCGCTGCAGTTGCCTCCTGCAAGTCCGAGTGCCACCTCCCTCCTGTGCACACCCGGAGCCTGCCAGAGACGTGCTGGACGGCACTATGTCATCACACGCCTTCAGAGGATAGACTCCTGGGGGCACTCAGTGTCGAGGGGCTGGAGCAGCCCTTTACTGGTGGCATCCAGCCCAGTGGTCTCTGAGGGTGGTTCAGTAACAGCCCCTCTAGCCCCATTGGTGGCCAAGGTTCTGTCCCGGAGTGGAGTGCCCAGGCCGCGCAGGGTGTTACGGAAACCCTCGGCACTGAAGTAGTACACCAGTGGATCCAGCACGCAGTTGGCGCCAGTCAGCAGCACCAATACCACCAGGACTCTACGCACCTGATCGCGGGCCGACGGGCTGCCCACCACCAGGTTGCCCCGCAGCAGCCCGTAGAACGCCAGCGTGGCATTGTAGGGCACGAAACACAGCAGGAAGATGACAAGGTTGGCCAGCAGGAGGCGCACGGTCTTCCGCCGCCGCTGGCTCTGCGTGGCATCAGGTCGCCCCAGCGTCCAGAAGACCCGGCCGGACGAGTAGACCACAGCTGCCAGGGGCAGCAGGAAACCCAGCACCTCTGCCAACAGTACGAGCGGCAGCAGCCGGCCCTTCCACAGCTCATCTCTGAAGCTCTCGAAGCACAGGCGCACGGTGCTGTTCTGGTAGATGCAGGACGATGGCTGGTGCACGCGGGCGGCTGGCACGGCGAACACCAGGATGAGCGCCCACACGCCCAGGCACACCCGGCGCGCCACGCGGGGCTGCCGCAGGTGGCGCAGCCGCAGCGGATGCACGATGGCTGCATAGCGGTCCAGATTGATGAGCATCAGGAAGATGCAGCTGCCATACATGTTCATCTGGAAGATGGCACCCGATGTCTGGCACAGGAGGTCCGGGAAGGGCCAGTGGTGTAGCACGTAGTAGGAGAGGCGCACGGGCAGCGAGAGAGTGAAGAGCAGGTCGCTGGCCGCCAGGTTGCACATGTATACACTCACCACCGAGTGTACACGCAGCATGCGCAGAAAGACCCAAAGGGCCAGGGCGTTGAGGGGCAGCCCAGCCGCCAGCACCAGGCTGTAGACCACCATGTGCAGGCGATGGGTGGCCCGGTAGTCAGGGCATGAGGGCACAGGGTTGGTAGAAGTGGTGTTGGCTGAGGAATTATCCAACATGGAAGAGTTGGGCAACATCTTGTCAAAAAGAAATGGAGCTAGGTTGGGGGCATCATGGGGCACACCAAGGTCCCAGCATCACCTCCAGGGTGGTAGCCTGGTGGTTGTACAGAGACGGTCCCAAAGCAGGCAGAGGCAAAACATGGGCATGTGGGCTAGGTCAGCAGGGTCAGATGGTTGCCAAGGGCTGGAAGCATTTAGTCACAGCTTCATCAGTAGTGACCTGGAATAGGAAAGCAAGCCAAAATAAAGTTATGCGGGAACAGGACTCCAAACACAGACGTTTAGTTCAACTGGCTTACCTCTTGAGTCTTTTCTCAGCCTCAAGGCTTCCTGACTCCTTCCATCTTTTTACCTCCTCCTGCCAGAATGGCTTCCTACAGCAGCACCGAATTGCAATGTCAAATGCCCAGGTTCTACAGTCTGACATGGAGGTGAACTTATAGAATATTTAGGTTGCTGTTAGTGCTTTTATTTTTTCTGTTTTGTTGAGGTGCTGGGGATCAAACACAGGGCCTTCTACAAGCCTGAGCAAGCACTCTACCACTGAGCTACACCACCAGCCAGATTGCTATTATCTCCTAAAATCCCTCTCTCCTTCCCTTCCTCAAGTGCTTACTGAGCTTTCAGAAGATTCCAGGCCTGTTCTTGGTAGTGAACAAAACAAAAGCTTCACCCCACCTACTTTTCATTCCATTAGGAGACAGATAATACAAATGCAAGCAAATAAGTCTGACAGCTGGTGAGAAGTAATAACCAGCACCTCCCCTGGGCATGGTGCCCATTAGCTGAGAAATAAAGTTCAGATTCTCAAGTCCAGTACAAAATCCCAGACTCACTTATCACATCCACCTTTCCCCTTATGGGCTGGGTTGGGCTTGAATGACCTCTTTAACCCTCAGTTTTCTTCATCTGTAAAATGGGAATGAGAATATCTTGGTGCACTCCTAGATGGATTGCTGCTAACCTTGGTAGAGAATATAATTATAATATATTATAATTAAAATATAATTAGAGGACCTTGGCATTCCAGTCAGGCAGATGAAAGGAGGCACTGAGTGCTGGGCTTTTCCCAAAGGGGTCCTGTGGTAGAAGGACACAATGGTTTGGTGGTGAGAGCTCACAAGGGAGCCTAGGCCAAGGGAGGGCGGAGGTGAGAACACAAAGTACTGCTCGGCTGCCAGGAAGAGCAGACTACAGTAGTTACAGTTCTCAGGCAAAGTTGGCAGACCAAGGAATGGCCAAGAGTTAGATAGCCAGAGGACAGGATGTGGTCTGAGGGTCCCACTCTTCTCACCTGCAGGAGGCCTCAAGAACTACCTTCCATCTCTACCCCAGACACCATCCATTTTGTGTATATATAGAATAACGTATAACTTAATTTTTGCCATTCTTTTTAATTTACTTTTTTGGGAAGGAGTACTGAGGTTTGAACTCAAAGTCTCATGCTTGCTAAGCAGGTGCTCTACCACTTGAGCAATACCCCCAACCTTCCACCCCATTCCCTTATTTCTAGTGACACTATATTGCCCAAGCTGGCCCTAAACTCCTGGGCTCAAGCAATACCCTTGCCACAGTCTCCTGAGTAACTGAAACTATAGGCACCTGCTATCACATCTGCTCTAACTTTTTTTTTTTTAGCACTGGGGTTTGAACTCTGCTTAAGCCACTCCACTAGCCCTCTAATTCCAGCTCATTAAGTATACTCACAATGATACGTATTCTTTACCACAAATAATTTCCAAAAATGGAAATTTTCATCAGCTCTACCTGTTAAGCAATACTGCCTACCCGACTCCAGACCCTGGTGACCTTCTTTCTACTTTCTGTCTCTATTAATTGCCTATTCTAGATACCTCATATGAGTGGAAGCATATGATATTTGACCTTTTGTGTCTAACTTAATTCACTGAGCCATCCATAATTGTAGCATGTAACAGATTTTTGTTTTTGTAGTGCAGGTGGCGATTGAACCCAGGACTCTGCAAATACTTAAGCACATTTTCTACCACCGAGTTATAACCCCAGCCTGTGTAACAGAATTTCATTCTTTTTCTTATGGTTCAATAATATGTTCCATTGCACGTATATGTATTTTACTTACCCATTCATCTGTCAGTGGACACTTGAGTTACTTCCTTTCGACTACTGTGATCAGTGCTGCTATGAACATGGGTATTTATATGTCATCTTTGGGAGAGAAGTTATCTTAGACTGAGCAATTATACTAGCTCATTCCTTTCCAAAGAAACTATTGAAATTTTTGTATTAGGGATTGGGATGTGACTCAGTAGTACAGCACTTGCCTAGCATGCTCAAAGCCCTGAATTCGATCTCCAGCACCTCAAATAAATAATTATTGCATGGAATTAAATTGCAAATCTGACTATACTAAATGGGGGGTGGGGGTTCATTGTTTGCTTCCCCAGCAACTACCACCTCCAGCAGTTCAAGACTTGCAAGAAGTATCATAGAACAGTTAAAAGGGACTGGGGACAAAGGAGAAAGATGGAGGGGTGAATCTAAGATATACCATTAGCATTTTTGTAAATCTCACAGTGTACCCTCGTACAATTATAATATGCTATTAAATAAGTACATAAAAGACTAAAAGGAATAAACATTTTCCTGCAAAATACCAATTTCAACAATGAAAACACAGCTTGAGCTGGAGGAGTGACTCAAGTGGTAGAGGACCTGTCTAGCAAGTTCGAAACCCCGAATTCAAACCCCCATACTGTCAAAAAATTAATTAATATGGGCTGGAGGAGTGGCTCAAGTGGTAGAGTGCCTGCCTAGCAAGCACAAGGTCCTGGGTTCAAACCCCAGTACCACCAAAAAAAAAAATTTAAAAAAATTAATAAATTTAAAAAAATAAAAAAAGCTCTCAGCTAGGTGCCAGTGGCTCACGCTTGTAATCCTAGCTACTCAGAGGAGATAGAGATCAGGAGGATCACAGTTAGAAGCCAGCCCAGGGCAAGTTTGTGAGACCCTATTCGAAAATGCCCAGCATAAGACAGGGCTTGTGAAGTGGCTCAAGTGGTAGAGTACCTGCCTAGCAGCAAGCACGAGGCCCTGAGTTCAAGCCCCAGTACTACCAAAAAAAAAAAAAAAAAGGTCAATAAAATTGGGTCTGTACTGAACATGTACATACTTTTTTTCATCATATTCTCCCAAACAATGTATTTACCTAGTATTTACATTGTGTTCAGTATTGTAAGTCATCTAGAGATGATTTGTGTTACATTGGAGGATGTGCCTAGGTTATGTGCAAACCCTATGCTATTTTATATAACAACAGATCTGGGTATCTTTGCGTGTGTGTGTGTGTGTGTGTGTGTGTGTGTGTGTAACTGGGGTTTGAACTCAGGGCCTTACACTTGCTAGGCAGGTACTCCTCCACCTGAGCCACTACACCAGCCCTTTATTATGTTGGTGGTTATTTTCAAGATAGGGTTTCAAGCTATTTGCCACGACTGGCCTTGACCCATGATCCTCATGATCTCTGCCTCCTGAGTAGCAAGGATTACAGGGCTGGATTTGGGTATCTTGAGTGGGGGTCTGGGAACCAAGCTCCCACAGGCTATCATGGCAAATGAGACTTAGACATTCTGAAAGCCAATAAAACCAGGCTTGGCTCTGCATGCACATTCTGCCCCACCCATGCTACTTTGCTCCACTCACAGCAAGCTAATCCTTATTTGACACATACTTCATGCTTTCAGTCCTCTGTCTTTGCACATGCTGCTTCTTCAATGTGGAATGCCCTCCTCCCATTCTCCAGCTGCCAAACCCAGTCATTTCTCAGGACCCTGTGAATCCTTTCCTGACCCTGCCTTCCCTGGTGGGGTAGATACAGTCCCTTCCCTTGCACTTCCCTGGGCATGAGGGTGCAAGTTCTGTCATAGCTGTTCCCATGTGTATAGTAATTAGCTGTTCTTAGCCAGCTCCTCCCATTACACTGTGAGTTCCTGGAGGGAGGGGTTGTGGGCTGCGTTTATTCAACCTTATATCCCCAGCACCTACCGCAATACATGTGGAGGGAAAATACTAGTTATCCAGGGAATGTGGTTGAAGTGGGTACAGCACCTGTCCAACAAGCACAAGGCCCTGAGTTCAAACCCCAGTACAAGAACAACAACAAAAACCCCTAGCTATCATTTACTGAGTGGTTACCATATCCCAGGGTATGTTGTATATGTAATTTCTAACTCTTCCAACAACAGTCTTCTGAGGTAGGTGTTCTCAGTTTTGATAGAAGTGAAGGCATTTTCCAAATCCAGGTCCGCCCTGGTCCAAAGTCTAAGCTGTACCACACTGCCTCCAACAACAGTTGATGGTGAGATATATAGATGGTGCTGGATAGAGCACCTGGTCTTTTATAGTTGCCTGTATGAAATCTGTGCCCATGGGTAAGTTATTTCACTTCCTCATTTATCTAATTGAAATACATTTTAATAACCTACTTCCCTCTTAATCCTATCTTGAACACTGGTAACACAAACTCATCTTGCTTTCACACACACACAAATATGCCTCCTTCCAATTTTCTCTGTAAGAACTGAAGCACATAAGCTGGACACAGTGGTGCCCACCTGTGGTCCCGGCTACTTGGGAGGCTGAGCAGGAGTTCCAGACCAACCTTGTTAGTATAGTGAGAACTTGTCTCAAAAAAAAAAAAAAAGTACTGCTGGGCACTGGTGGCTCACACCTATAATCCTAGCTACTCGGGCAGAGATCAGGAGGGCAGGAGGCTCTCCATTCGAAGCCAGCCCAGGCAAGTAGTTTGAGAGACACTATCTTGAAAAAAAAATCACAAAAAAGGCTGGCAGAGTGGCTCATGGTGTAGGCCCTGGGTTCAAACCCCAGTAGTACCCCCCCACACACAAAAGTAGTTAAGCATTTAGTTTTATGCCTTGAACCCCTCAGCTGTTTTGGGTATTTGGTCCATTTCCCCACCTAGATGTTCAGATCCTGGGGTGGGAGACATGCCCTACAGACACACACTGCAGTTTCTGTACTTAGCAGGCCCTGAGTGATGTTCACTGGCTACCTGGCAGGAAATCCACTCCCCACTCAACAAGTTAGCCCACTTATAATCCAGTTATAATATCTGTTGTATGGTGCTAGTCAGCTAACCACCTGTCACACTCCTAACTATGGTTCACATGTATAACTAACTCATTTAATAAGAGACCTTATTTCTTAAAAGACCAGTTAGCAAACAGCTTGCATTAAGATTTCAATAACAGTTTATAATATAATTACAGTTACACTTTATCATTCTTAAATATTACTTGAAGAATCAGTAGCTCCTTACAATTAGGAAACACAAGCTGGGTATGGTGTCTATAATCCCAGCTACTTGGGAGGATATCAAGTTGGAGGCCAACTTGAGCAAAGTTAGAGACCCTATCTCAAAAACAAAATAGAAACCAAAGAGTTGGGGGCATAGTTTAAGTGATAGAGCACTTGCCTAGCAATCAAGATGTCGTGAGGTTCAGTCCCCAGTACACACACACACACACACACACACACAAAAGGAAGTACACACTAGAAAATGAAGGAATGGATTCTTTTCCAAAAATCCCAAGTATTTCTGTTAAAAAAAAGTTACAGTGTTAAATGGACCAAAATGGATTCCTGAGGTTATATTCAAAGGTAAAGTTAGGAATCCTTTTGTAAGGGAAATGGCAATGGTCCCATTATTCCATTCCAAAGAAGAGAAGTTTTGGGGTTTCCTTACAGTGGAGCCTGTTGATGGAAAGCCATCCTTTTCCAACAGAGTTACACAGAAAAGCCAAGCTGAACACAGAGTTGCCAGGCTCCTGCCTGGTCCCCACCCCATTCCTCCGCTTCCCTGAGCCCCGGGGCTCCTGTCTGTGGAGTCGCATGGGCATAGTGCCAGGCCAGATGGCAAGGATGGGAAAACCTGCCAAAGAGGAGGCAAACGGGAAACGGAAGGAAAGATATAGATGTGGGGGAGGGGGGGAACACAGACCCTCTCCCCAGCCCTGCTTTGAGGAAGGAGTCAGGTTGCGGGGGAGGGGGGGGAAAGCAAGATCAAAGAAGCAGCAGCTCCCTCAGAAAAGAAGGAACACTGGGGTTTCGTTTCACCAGGGAGGAGGGGGCCAAGGAGGTCTACCTACCCTCAGCAACATGAACACATACTGATGTAACAGGGACACCACTACACACATGTGCATGCACACGCAGAGGCATACACAAAGAGATGTGCATACAGATCCCTGGGAACATGCAAATCGATTACATCTGCAACATTCAAGCACGTGCAAAGACCCATGAGGAGCCAGAGGATCCCTGGCCCGTGCCTTAGGAATGACTTCCTTTCACACAGACACACAGAATCAGGCAGCTTCACAAGTACATCCTAATGCAGGTGGGACAAACAGATCTCAACTCAAAGCACAGAGAGGCAAAGAAACCACCATCTACCCGGAGGTACCTGGTACTACCTGTGTTCCTGCCCCCCGCCCCGCTACCACCACCACCACTCACACACCAGAGTGAGGACTGCTTGCTCGTGAAGTCTCTGTCCTTCAGCTCCCATGTGCATATTCAGGTGCCTTACCTCCTTCAGGCTACTGGGACCTGTCCCTTGCCCTCTGAGCCGGGCTGGGCCTCTGCTCTTGGCTGAGATAAGCCAGAGGGGCTGGGTTATTTTCTGCCACAGGAGGAAGTAAGAACAAGGGAGTAAAGTGGGCAGGAGGCGTGATCATGTTCACTCCTCCACACACCCTGCCCCAACTAGCCAATGACTCAGAGAAGAGCTGAAGATGACTGACTAGTCGGTTAGAACAATGGTGAGGACACAAAGGGGGACAGCTGTGCAATTTCTCTGTCCAACTTCTGCCACTGTCTCCATGATCTCACCCCTCGACCTCCCCACACATGCAACTTGCGCTGTCTTCACCTCCTCTTATTGATGGACTGATTGTGGTACTGAGGTTTGAATTCAGGGCTTCCTGCTTGCTAGGCAGGCACTGTACTACTTGAGCCACACCCCTAGTCCCCAACCTTATTTTAGATCCTCATGGCCAATCAGTGTCTCAGCCCCAACCCAGGAAATACCCCTTTGGTGAGTGCCCTAACCAACTGGTTCATTAGTTAAGCCCATTTCCTCTGCTTCTGAGTTCAGGTCATGTTGGGAGGGTGCACCTTTCCCCCTTTACCAGACTTAATTATACAGACCACCTCATATCTGGGTATTCAACTCCCCAAACTGATCTATTGTGCTGAGCCGCAAACAGAAGCTGTACCCACTCTAAAGCCTTGATGACAAAGCCCTGTCTCAGAGCCCCTGTGGGGGCACATATGAATCCTGCTCACTGGCATATCCTGGGTCTGAGGTATGGGGAGGAGATGGGAAGGTCTGTGTTGTGGAGATTGTCTGACATCATGCGGATTAGAGAGGGGGACCGCCTGGTACCCCAGGAACCAAAGAGAGGGGTCTCTTGGGCACAGGCTAGGATGCCTGCCTTATCACCAGAATCTTCCTCCTCTCCATCCAGAGCTGCTCTGCTTCTCCAGCTAAAATTCCTGCTCTACCCCGCCCCTTCTTGGAGCCTTTCCAACATCACCCTCAGTCTTGTCTTCTCCCTCCCTGGGAACACTGACTTCATCCCTTCCAACATTTTCCTGGGAAAAGGCAGAAGTCCAAGGTAACATAGAACTCAATAATTAGTTTCCCCAATGTGTGGATAACAACATGCTACCTGCATATTTTCCTCCACCCTGCTTTCAAGAGCTAGAAAAACAGGAAATAAAGTCCTAACAAGAGATGTCACTGTCACAAGCTCAGCTCCCTGCTGACCTGTGCCCTGTGTGCACCTTACCCTTCCTTTAGGCCTGGCAGGTTCTGCCTTTTCTGAACAATCTCCTGGAGCCTTAAGGCCTGGGTGACCTCACTCTGAACTTGGTGTGTAGCACTGGCTTCAGCCTCACCCTTTGTTTTTGTTTAGTTTTTGTGGCACTGAAGATTAAACTCAGGGCCCCATATTTGTTAGACAAGTGCTCTACAACTTGAGCCACACCCCTAGTCTACTGTTTTTGTTTTTGGTGCTGGGAATGGAACCTAGGGCCTTGTGCATGCTAGGCAAGGCTCTACCTCTTAGTCCTCTTAGTCTCACCTTTCTTTCTCTTCCTTGGCTTTTTTTTAATGCCCTTGGACATAAGAGATCTCTGTATCAGTAGAGTACATACTGGGGGAGGCAGGATGGGGAGAGCCAATGGCATCTGACAGTTTTAACATCTCTGGATGGTTGGAAGGTAAGGCACAGGCGTGTGCTCACGTATGTGCACATTGCACACATGTAAGTTTCTATCTCCCCTCACTCCAGGCCTCCATTTCCCCCTGAGGCTACAATTTCAGCTTACCCTAAAGGGAGAAGTTCTAAGAGGTAAGAGTTCTGGTAAGAGTTCTCCTCTAGTCATGGAGGAGAATCCACAAGCATAGGTAGGCAGAAGCCCTGACTGGTATGATTCAAAGGTCCCAGAAAACCCTGCCCATGTTCCCCTACCTGTGCTCAACAGCTGAAATTTCCTTCCCTTTGTGCTACTCATGAGTTACATTCTATCAGTTTCATGGGGACCTGACCTACAGACCACTCAGCCCAATCCCCTTCCACAGAGGAGCCTTGAGGCTCAAGACTCATTAAAATACACCTGAAAGGCTGGAAGTACAGTAGAACACTTGCCTAGCATGCCTAAGGGCCTGAATTCCATCCCCAGCACATAAAAATAGATAGATAGATAGATAGATAGATAGATAATTTAGATATAGCTGGCTATGGTGGTACACACCTGTAGCCTCAGCTACTCTAGAGGCTAAGGCAGCAGGGAGGATCGCTTGAATCCAGGAGTTCCAGGCCAGCCTGAGCAGCATAGTGAGACAGCCCCACCTCAGAAAAAGGGGAGTGGGGTGGGGCTGGGATGTTGCTCAATGGTAGAGCAAAAGTTGAACTTACACAAGGCCCTAGGTTCCATCCACAGCATCAAATAATAAATAAGTAAATAGATAAATAAATAAATAAATAGATAAAATTACACCTTGGTTACCTGGGAAGGGTAATAAGAACACATTTGTGCCAATGAGCCCATTAGCAGAGTTTAACAGCAGAATTTAACCAGATTAGCTCCCTGTCATTTAGGTGAGAGCCTGGCCCTGGGGGATGAGTGGATGTGGGAAGTCAAGATTTAACTGAGAGTGGGGAAAGGCTGGAAGCAGTCCCCAGAGGGCCCTCCTTTGGGAGCTCTGGGTTCATCATGACTGGGGGGGTCCTTGGGACGTCCCATAGTGGGGCTTTAAGCTTCAGAGGGGCATTCAGGATGTCAGGTGTGTTGACTGTCTCATCAGACTCTGTCTAGAAGGTTTGTGTACTTGCCCAGTCCCCTTTGACTTTTTACTTATTCAAAAAGGGTTTCCAGGACCCACCCTCATTTCCATTCCCACCCATGTCCCCTTTGTTCCCCTTGAGTAGCTCAACCCCACTCGTACACCTCCATACCTGTGCTCCCAGTAGCTCTGCTGCTTCTCCAAACCGGCTTCCGCTGGTGTCACTCTGGGCTGGGCTGGTAGGACCTGCTTCTGGGTAGGTCTGACACACCTACCTCAGCAGATCTGAGCTCATTGCTCCCAGCTCCTTGCACTCACCCAACTCCATAGAGCCCAGGAGAGAAAGAAGAGGATGCATTGACCTTAGAGGCTTTCACAGACTGGCCAGAGAAAAAAGTCCCAGCAGCTAAGGATACTCGAGCCCCAACTCTTGTCACCTAACTCTCCCCCTGTTCCTCACACACTCAGGCAGCTTCCAGGAGCTCTTGGTGGCACATCCACCCCCTGATGGTGACTAACTCACTGCTGTTCTCACTTGTACCCTCCCCCTGTCTCTTCTTGGGTTGGCCAGGTGGTTTAGCCCAGGCCTTTTGTGGCTTGTACCTTCCTCTGCCTGGGGCCCTTCTGCATGACATGTGTTTTCCCTCCCTGCCTGCCAGTATACACCCAGCTCCTCCATTAGCCAGTTACCCAGCTGGGTGTTTCCTTTTTATTTTCCCTAGGCTGGAGCTCCAGGAGGGCAGGGATGAGGGGGCAGATGACAGGGCCATGTCTCTGCATCCTTGAGCAAAACACAGCCCCTCAGTGAACATCAATAAACAAAAACAAGGCCGTTTTTTAGGAGGTAGGTGAAAAGGTACTGTGATCAAATGAGTTTGGAAAACACTAGGTTAAACACATTTATCAAGGAGCTTTTTTTTTTTTTCAGCGCTAAGTATGGAACCTGGGGCCTTGTGTAAGCTATGTAAGCACTCTATAACTGAGCTACAGCCCCCAGCCCATTTTTTTGTTTGTTTCGAGACAGGGTCTTGCTATTGTAGCCCAGGCTAGCCTTGAACTCAAAATTCTGCCTCCACCCAAATGCTGCGGTTATAGGTGTGTACCAGCAAGCTTTGTAGATTATTTAACATGCTGTTCATAAGCCACGTGTTGATCATTATGGCTAGCTGAAGGATACACAAGGGTACATTATACATTTTTTTTGTTAACAATGCTGGGGAAGGAACCCAGGGCCTCGTGGATGCTAAGCAAGTGTTCTACCACTGAGCTACACACCTAGTCCTATTCTATTCTGTTTTTGTGCATGTCTGAACTTTTCCACAATAAATGAGATTTTTTTAAATGCTGTTTTGTTTTTTGTTTGTTTTGCTGTTCCGGTGTTTGGACTGGTGGCCTTGCACTTGCCAGGCAGGTGCTCTACCACTTGAGCCATGCCCCAACCCCTAAAAATGCTATTAATTACTGTGAGCCTATAAAAAAGAAAGATTCTTGGGCTGGAGGTGTAGTTCAAGTGGTAGAGCACCTGCCTGGCAAGCTTGAGGCCCTGAGTTCAAATCCCAGTACTGCCAAAAAAAGAAAAAAAAAAAGACTACTTGAGCTGCACCACCTCATTATGTGTGGTCAAGATGCAACCTTCTCATCATCTAGCAAGTTCCTCTATGTTGAGTTGGGTTTTTTTTGCTTTTTTTACGGTGCTGGGGTTTGAACTCAGGGCCTATACCTTGTGCCACTCACCAGCCCATTTTTGTGATAGGTTTTTTTCGAGATAGGGTCTTGCAAACTTTGAGAACTATTTGCCCAGGCTGGCTTTGAACTGTGATCCTCTTGATCTCTGCCTCCTGAGTAGCTAGGATTACAGGCGTGAGCCACCATTTTTTGTTATGTTTTGTTTTGTTTTTTTAATGGTACTGGAGTTTAAACTTAGGGCTTCACATTTGCTAGACAGACTGTCTACCACTTGAGCCACTCCACCAGCCCTTTTGTGTGTGTGTGTGTTGAGTATTTTTGAGATAGGATTTCTCTTTTTTGCCCAGGCTGGCCTGGAACTGTGATTCTCTTGATCTCTGCCTCCCGAATAGCTAGGATTATAGGTATGAATCACCTGTGCCTAGAGGTTTCCTCCCTTTATCTTTTTTTTGTGTGTGTGTGGCACTGGGGTTTGAACTCAGGGCCTCATGCTTACTTGGCAGGTGCTGTACCGCTTGAGCCACTCCACCAGCCCTATTTATTTATTTTTTTTTCATGATGGTTTTTTTCAAGATAGGGTGTCCTGAACTATTTGCCCTGATTGGCTTCCCATCGAGCGCCTCCTGATCTCTGCCTCCCGAGTAGCTAGGATTATAGGCGTGAGCCACTGGTGCCCGGCTCCTCCCTCTTGGAAAGAGGTCACTACCCAGGAGCTGACCTGTGAACATGGCCTGAGGCTCTGGCCTTTATTCTACGTTGGGACAATCCTATACTCAGAACTGAACTCCTGGGACAGAGCTTCAGAATGAAGACGAGTATGGTCTTGTGGCCCATAAACCCTAAAACCCCAGCCATGGCCTTCTTCAGTCCAACTCCAACTGGTTAGGTCTCCCGCTTCTCCTTGCAGATGGTTGCTTCCCTCAGTGCCATTGCCATGAGGTTTCCTCATCTGTAGATGGATCCATAAAACTGGAGGCTGGAGATGGAGTCTCAGAGGATGGTGCCAAGAATGGGTATCAAACCAAAATAAACCACACAGGCTGAAAATAAATACTTTATATAAAGAGATCCTTTAAGGCAGGAGAGTTCCATCATGGGCCTCTCTGGGACAGCTGCCCCAACCCAAGGGACATGTGAATAGGGACCAGCTAAGAAACCTATAAGGGGCATCCTGGAAGCTGACAGAAGAGGCCTAAAAGCAATGGAGAAGGCAGAAAGGTGGGCTGGGGTGGGGTCAGAATGAACCCCAGCTCATCCAAATTGGCCTATAGTCAAGGTGCTGTACTCCTGGCTCCATCGAAGCACAATGTCTTCACTTTTGGCCAAGCTCAACACACTGTACGTTTCATTCTGCATACATCTCATGCGGGACACCTACACAGGGATTGTGCATATAGTCTGTGTCACAGAGCCAGGGCATTGAGGGTACAGGTAAAGAGGTGTCAGAGCCCCGAAAGAACAAGAGGAGGGTAGTAGAGAGAACTCAGGTGGGGTTTTATAAGGATGCCAACTCCTTTCTTTTGAAAATGGGGAGGCTAAGGCTAAGGATGGGAATTGACTTATCCTAAACTATCACGTGAATAAGAAAGGGAGGCCAGACTGAAACTCAACATTCAATTCCCAGACCAGCTAAGGGTTCTTCCTGTGGTGCCCACAGGGACCACCATTGCTCCTGCCTGGGAAGACCTGGCTTTTTTCAGGACTGGGGTTCAGGAGGAGGCACTCTATGGAGACCCCTGACCCAGAGATGCAACTAGGGAACTCCTCTCTACAGCCCAGTTTCTAGAAGAGGGGGAATCAGAATAGACCAGTCTGGGGCAGAGGCTGGGAGGTAGGGACACAGTAGGAGCTCACCTTCCGATTCCTGTTTTTCATCAGACACTGTTGGCTTTTGAAAGAACAGTAGTTTGGGTACTGGATATAGTCTGTGTCACAAACCTACGCCAGGAGCCAGGGAGGGAGAGGGGCAATCAGAAACCTGACACACCACCAGATCCTAGTGTACCAGCAACAGCAGAACTAGGGGTGGGGTGAGGCCCCCAAGAACCAGACCTTGCACATCTGGGGAGCTCCTCACTATGCTTCCTCTGAGGGACACGCCTCAGTCCCCTCCATCCTTCCCCTCCCACCTTCAGTCACAGACTGTTGGGAAGCAGCCAGTAGCCAGGGAGAATCAGAATCAGTTTGATGGGAAAGTGAAGAATGAGAACAAAAAGGTGGTGGTCAAGGGTCCAGAACATGGGCTGGGGGTGTGGCTCAGTGGTAAAGTGCTTGCCTAGCATACACAAAGCCCCTGGGTTCCATCCCCAGCATGGAAAACAAAACAAAAAAGTCCAGAAACCAGGAAGGCAGCCCAATTAGTGATCCAAATATCAGGGATCCTTTTGGTAATGAGTAAGGGGAGTGCAGGAGAATCTGATGTGTGACAGTGGGTCAATCACTCCCTCTTTGTCCTTGCTTCCCCATCTATAAATCTGGGGAGTGGCTAATATGATTTCTGAGCTCCTTCCAGATCTAGGGATCAAGAGCTGGACAGGGTACCTCAGTTCAGCTCCCAGCCCTTTCTTCCTTTTTCTCCCCAGGTTCTGGATATAGAACCCAGGTCCTCCAGCATGCAAAGCATACACTCTACCACTCAGCTACAATCCCAGCCCCTACTCTTTCTTAAGCTGCTCCTATTTTTCTTTGCCTGGGTGTTTCCTGTCAAACCACAGGGAAGGCTGCCAAGGGCCTGGCTCTCAGCAAGAGGGAATTCTGCAGGGGAGATAACTTTGGGGAGAGGGGAGCCAGGTTGATGTCGTTGAGCATTGAAAACACTGAAACAGTGGAGGAGGCAGCTGTCAGGGCTGAGGTAGAGAAGCATGCATCACAGGGCTGGGCAGCCCCTCACACATTGCCTAGTCTTTTAGCATAGAGATGAGTATGACTTCGGCCCAGAATGGGCAATGATGACAAAAACCACTCAGCAAGTAAATGGCAGAGCTGGGATTTGAACTTCTATCTCCATGTCCTGCCTCCCGCTCTTGAGCTTTCTCACCTGGCAGGGTCACTACTGATTTGTCAAATAGGATCCTGCCCTATTGGGGCAGAGGTGTGTAAGGTCTCTTGGAGACAGGCAGGAGGTTGCCTGAAGAGAGGTCTCAGAGTCAAAGGCCCAAGCTCCTTCCACTCCTAGGGCTACCTAGAGCCAAGTGCCTAGGAACTGGGGGTTGGGAATGCTGAGCTTTAGGGAAAGGGTCTAACCTTGGTGGGGTAATCCCCATCCTGGAAGCTAAGGAACTCAGCCTGGAGCCAGTTGGCGACTCGGTCATCTTCACAGCCCTTTGTGGCAAGCCGGGCACACCAGAAGTCCATGCGGAGCCCACCGTACAGATCTAGCCCATAAAAGTGGCCCCTGTCTCGGGACCCTACCTGTGACACAGGAGATAGGCTAGAAGTGCATGCCCTTGGCCCCTGAAGGCCTCCCTCCCAAGGCCCCTTCTGCCTCCCCCACCACAGGCTGCCCAGCTAGGTACCTGGGTGCCGACCGACATGCTCTGGGCTGTGAGCAAGGGGCTGACAAAGGGTGTCCTGTGGAAAGGGTCACACTGCCGCCGCTGCAAGTTGCTCTCTGATTGGCATTGCTCCAGCTTCAGGGAGCAGAAGGCACAGAGGGGACAGGTAGATGTGTGTCGGCGCCCAAGATTGTCACAGACCTGGGGCAGGAGTGTGGATGAAAGGCTGAGGCTGGGACTCCACAGCCTGGCCTTCTCTCCCTCACCTCAGCCCTCCAGAGTGGCCTGTCAGGATGTTTGTGTATTAAGGCTCTTCCCTAGCTTTTCTTCCTGTCCCCTCCCCCCAAGGGCTCTTCAGGACCTCACCTTAACTATTTCTTCCCCTCTTCCTTGTATGGTTTTCCTAGGTAATCTTCACCTATCTTCTGGTGACACCCAAATCTTTATCATCAGTTCTGATCTGGTCCCCAAATTCCAAATCCTCACTGCCTAGCAGGAATATATCACTAGGTGACCTACCATTGCCCCTAATTTAGCTTATTTGAAAAGAACCTGTAACACTCAATTCTCTGCTAATGATAACACAAGTATTTGCTGAGAGACATATTGCTGGCATTATGGCTATATACTCATCTTAATTTTCTCAACAATCCTATTGGTAGGTGTAAGCAGGAGAATCATGAGTTAGAGGCCAGCCCGAGTTAAACAGTGACATCCTATCTTACACACACACACACACACACACACACACAACAGCAGAAATACCAATACATGTTTCCATTTACTGATGAGGAAACTGAGGCTCAGCGAGGCTGAGTACATGACTCAAAGCCTCATGTCTAATAGAAGGTGTAGTTGTGACATGAATCCAGGTCCTTGTGACTCTAAAACCTATATGCTCTACGACACATCTTGGTTCCAAAATTCCACGTTCTTGGAAGATCTCAGAGTGGAGTCTCCCTAGCTGAGCTCTCCACCCCGACTCAGCATTAGAGGGAGCATCTGGTAGGCAGCTTCTTTAACCAATCCCATCGTCCATCCTCCTTCCTCACCCATGGCTGCAGCCCGTTAACAGTGCATGGACTCTTAAAGCACCTGCTCGCTCTTCACAGCAGCATGGTCCTTACCCAAACCTCTCATCTACTTCCCCTTCTCTATCAAATGAAATACCTGAGACTGCCATTCAAGGCTTCCTACATTAGGACCCTCACATCTTTGTCTCCTGTTGTTCTGTACCAGGTAAAATGGACTCCACTACTCCCTTATCCAAGCAAGTCATCCAGAGAGCTCTCTCATGACATTTTTTTTTTTTTGGGTGGTATTGGGGATTGAATTTAGGGCCTCAAGCTTGCTAAGCAAGCATGCTACCATTTGAGCCACATGCCCCCAGTACTTTTGCATTTAGTTTTTCAAATAGGAGCTTGTGCTAACTTTTCCCAGACTGCTCTCAAATTGTGACTCTCCTGTGTTGAGTAGCTCGAGATTACAGGCATAACCCACCATGCCCAGCTTCCTCTGAACTTCGTACAAGTTTTAAAAAACCTCTGTTCAATTCCTAGCACACTTGTTCTGTAGTACTACTGATTCCATATTAACCTCCCTCGTGCCCCGTTAGGCACAAACAGTATCCTCATCTGAGTCCTTCATGAAATCTTTTTTGCTCAGAGCCTTTGCATGTACTACTGCTTCTATCAGGCCCTTTCTTTTGCCTGGTTAACTTCTCTATCTTCAGGTCTCAGTTGAAACACCATTTCCTCTAAAAAAGCAGTCTCTGATACTCCCAAGCACAGAAAGCTGCCTCCTCACCCCATATACTCTTTCTCTGCACTTTGTACTTATCCCCACTACAGCACTGATCTGATTACACTGTCCTGCCTGTCTTCTCCACTAGATCCCAAGAGACCAAGCATTAGATGTACTGTATGCACTGCTAGTGTCTCAGTACCTAGGAGAGAGTTTGTGCCCAGTCTTTGTTAAACAAATGAATGAATGTATAGCATTACCAGCTCCCGACAAATGTTTACAAATTGTATTGTTTCTAAACCTAGGACCTGGGTGTGGTGTGTGTACCTGTAGTCCCAGTTGCTTGGGAGGCTAAGGCAAGAGGATCACTTGAAGCCAGGCATTCCAGATCAGCCTCACCTCAAACATAACAAAAGGATACCTAAAGTATATTTTCCTGGGAATAGGCTTGCTAGATGTGGAAGACACATTGAGACTTGAATCTCTTTTTTTCAGATTTCATGGGATGGGTTCTATGGGCCTTCTGGAAAAAGAGAGTTGCATCTAAGGTGTAGCTAGGTACTAAAGACGGTGAATGGAACTAGGCGCCAGTGGCTCACGCTCGTAATCCTAGCTACTCAGGAGGCAGAGATCAGGAGGATTGTGGTTTGAAGCTAGCCCGGGGAAATAGTTCGAGAGACCCCATCTCAAAAAACCCTTCACAAAAAAAGTAGGGCTGGTGGAGTGGCTCAAGGTGAAGGCCCTGAGTTCAAGCCCCAGTACCGCAAAAAATAAAAAAGATGGTGAGTGGGATCAGAGGTGACTTGTGGCCTAAAACAACACAGAGGACTGAATGATGCATTCCAGACTGGACTGTGCTGGCAGCCTTCCTCTAAGGTGGGTTGGAGAGGTCCTTCCAAGGAAGGGAGTCCCACTTAGACAGGATCTCTCCAACTATGCCTTATGCTTTCCGTGCCCAGCCCCCTTTCCCCTGGCCTCACGCAGGGCCAGGCCCAGAGGATGCCCAGTGGCATGTATCCAATAAACAGCATGGCAGGCGTACCGACTTCCCGAAACCAAGGACCTCCTCCTCCAAGTAGTTCCAGGCCTTGGCTGTGGGGGTTATGATGCAGGTATTCTCCACAATGGAATAGCACAGCACCAGCAGGGCCTCCGTGTGGGGCAGCTGCAGGAGGCTGCAAGAAGACAGTACTGACTGGTGGGGATATGCCAGAGGGCTGAGGCAGAAAGCTACATCCTGTCTCTCCCCCTCCCCTGAGCAGCTGGTCTTGGTCACACACTTTCTGCATGCTTAGCAAGGGGTCTTCAGCATGGGGCCTGAGAGGCCCTCACACCAACTGCCTGTAGTTCCTCACAAATGAGGAACTCCAGAAAGGAGAAATGAGTTAGACATGGTGGTGGAATGCCTGTACTCCCAGCACTCAGGAGGCTGAGGCAGGAGGACTTCGAGTTTGAGGCCAGCCTGGACTACATAGTGAGTTCGACGCCAGCCTGGGTCATAGTGAGACTACGTCTCAAAAAAGAACAAAACAACAAACAAACAAAACAGAAAGAAGAAATAACTTTCTCAAGATTGCAAATGCTAATCAGGGATAGAGACAAGACCAGAATCAAGGCCTGGTTAAGTGCTACATCACAAGGGGAATGGGTACCTAAGTTAGGGCTTAAGCTAACAACGGGCACAGTGAACAGGTAAGGTCCGCAGTTGCTCGCTGTGCCTAAGCCCAAGCAGGTCTGAGTGGGTCTGGAGGCCGAAGCTGGGAAAGTGGGCTTCTTGTTTCCAAAGAAGGCGGCAGGGATGGCAGGGCCCCTGAGGGACTCATAACTTCTTGTACCTGCCAGTGTTTTGGCTTCTCCAGTAGGAATCCTCATCATACATTTCATTCATTGCATCCATTTCCTGGGCTGATCGAATAAGCTCCTGGATGTTGTCCACCATAGGAGCAGATTCTACTTCTCGGACCCGGGGAGTGAAGGAAGATGGATTAGAAGTCAAAAATTCAGACTGAAACTTGGGCTTTGTGTCTGTCTGCAGACTAGACATAGTCTCCAGTGCCTCTTCGGTCCCCTGCCCCTCTTCCTGCTTTCCCTCTTCCTCTTCTTCCTCCTCCTCTTGTTCTTCTTGCTCCTGTCCTTCTTCCTGCTTATGTTCTTGAAGTTGCTCTTGCTTGTGTTGTTCCTGGCCTTGCTTGGGATCAGATGGTTGCTCCTGGCCTCCCAGGGACAATGAGGATTGAAGCAGCTCTTCCACATTGTTGTTAAGCCGCTCAGGCCAAGGCTGGAAGACCTGTCGTTCTGTGGCTGCAGCAAAATTTAGGAGGGACCAGTAAAGAGATGGTCAGTCTTCTGGACTCTGACCACAGAGGAGGGACACACATTAACAAAAAGTTGAAGGAAAGGAGAGGAAACTTATACACAATTAAGTAAAAAAACCCCAAGAAACTAATATGAATATGAAATTGAAAGAATATTACCATGGCAAATGTGGTGTTGGCAAATGTGTTACCTTTCTATCTACCTTGTAAGTGCTCTTCTTCCCTTTGTCCCCCTATTTTAGAGAACACCAAGTATTCTAAGTAGCTAGCAACTTTCTATCTGGGGTGAGGGGTACCGGGAATCAAACCCAGGGCTTTGTGTTAAGTATATGCTTTACTGCTGAGCTATACCTCCCAGCTCCAATCTTTTCTAAAATGAAGATGTTTGCTTAGAAAAGGCCCAGAGGCTTCCAATGCTAGAATGTCTTTGGAGCTAGGAAAAGTGGATTCAGGCAGACTCCAAGTAATAGCAGAAGACACTCTGGGATAGGAGAGCCCTAACTTTTCCCCTTCCCCGAGTTCTGGGAATTATGGTCTTCCAGATGCTAAGAGGTCTCACCTGTGGCATGGGATGCCATGGGGGAGGTCATGGTGGTGGAAGAAGCTTCTGATGCAGTCTCTACCTCCTTGAGAGTGTTAGGCGAGAGGATAGAGACTGGCTGGGAGCACCGGACTCTCTACAGGGAGAAAAGGAAAATGGGAATGCCTTTACCAAAGCCTCTCCTGTTCCTCAGTCCCTTTCCCCTGCCTGTCACATCTCTCACAGTTTTTCAGTAGGGTTGAAGAATATGGTCCCTGCAGGAGCCCTCTTCTGGACAGAAAGGGTGTTTGTGTTCACTCTTGCCTTCACTCTTTTGTATTTGACTTGAATCTGCCCTTTTAGGAGGAGGGCTTATCTCTGCCTCTTCCCTCCCCTCTGCCTTACTTTTCTGAGAGTAATGGCATTGTTCAGACAATATGATGCCCAAGGTGACACTGTGTTCACGTAAGAATCAACTAAAGTTAGGTCTTTTCTGTCAAAGGAATTAACTATCACTGTGTAAATGCTAACTAATTTCCCCAAATTGCTTTGTGAAACATTTCTTGACTCTGCAAGACAAAGAGCTAATCTCAAATTGCTTGATAAGTAAAAATGTCAGCCCTGCTCCCCCATCTGCAGGGGACCCTGGGAAATCACTTTCTCCCTGAGCTGTAAAAAATGTCACTGCCTGGGAAAACCTTGCCCTTATCTCAAACAAAAGCTAGCTAATAGGGCAGACTGTGAACTCAAACCCGTCTGTCAGAGTGAGGGGCAGAGAGAAAAAAACTGAGTGGAGGACTCCCCACTCAGTGTGTTTTGCCTATCAAACGATGGTCTGTGGCTGCACCCTTCTGCAGAAGTAAAACTTTTCTTGTTGCCTTGCTGAGTAACTCCCTTGTATTTCTTTGAGATCACAGTTTGGGAACAGTACTTCTAACAGTTGACATATAATATGGGTGAATGATTGGCAAAATGGTAGGGAGGGAGGATCTAAAGATTTAAGGGCTCCTTCTGGAGCCCTTTCTCAGCTCCCTGCTGCTGCTACCACCCCATCTCCTCTTGGCTCTGGGTCACCAGATCCAACCTTCCTCTTGGGCCTCACCTTGGCATAGTAGACATGGTTGGAGCAACGATACTGAGTAAACTGGCAGAAGGACTCAAACCAGGAGGCATAAGGGAGGTCAGAGCAGACAGCACCTGAGAAAGGGCAGAGGTGGAGAAGGTGAACAACACAGCAGGAAGGCCAGGGCCTGCTCTAAGTGAGCTCCCCATGTGAACTCAGGACTTCTGCACTGAGCCTAGGTGAACTCTGGATTGGACTGGCCCTCACCGTCTGGCACCAAGCCGTGGTTTTCATATTGGTCCAGCTGTACAAGAGTGGGGTTCCGGCAGCCATGGGTTGCACGGAGGCGGCAGGTGGTCTCTGCCTTCCAGGTTGGGGTCAGCAGAGCGAAGAAGCGTTCGTATTCGGTAAAGGAGAGAGGGCTGCCTGGAGTGGCAGTCGAAGTTGAGTCCTGGGCTGGAGCAGGTGGCAGAAGCAGGAGCAGCACTGTGGAGTAGGGGACGGATGGATGGATGGGCTGCACCCCAAAACTCACTTGGGGTCCAGGACACACCCAGGTTGGCAAGTGAGACCCCACATGAACTAAGGACTGGAGCGGAGGGGGATAAGGAGAGGGAGTAGTCCCAGGTGGGTGATTCCTGACCAGGCTGAGGGGTATTCTAGAGTCAGAGGCAAAGGTGCGACCCTAGGGGTAAGATTGGGAAGAATCTCAAAAGCGAGGGAGAAGCCCAAGGCGACCGCCGGGAGAAAGTGTCTCCGAAACCATAAAACGGGCTCCCTGTAGTAGAGGACCCAGCCAGGGGGTCAGTTCGGCCAGGTGGGAACCTCTCACCTTTCAGGAGTGAGAGGATGCCAGTAGCTAGCTTTCTCATGGTTCCGGAAGATCGGCCCGCGTTTCCCGGACCAAAGAACCTCTAACGGGCCAAGCTCCGGTGCGGTGCGAGCTAGGGTCTCGAGGCAGGCAGGCGGCCGGAGTGCGAAGGTGCGCTCGCTGCCACGCAACGTCACAAGGGGCGGGGCGGGGCCGCGTGACGCACGCGAGGGGCAGGACCTCCCCTCGTCCCCCCCCCGACCCAGGGGCCTCACAGGTCACTGAGGATGACCGTGGAAGATGCCGCTCACAACCGATCTTTAGCGGGGCAGGCCCCGGCAGTTGAATACTACTCTAATTCCTTTAGTAATTCTGGCGGGTGGATGATTATCCGTTTTACAGACAGGAAACATGGGCTCAGGGAGGTAATGCTCAGTAGTGTAGAGACCTAGATGTGAGCCTACGCAGGGCTGTGGGACAGCAGATGGAACAAAATAAAGACAAGAACACCTGGGCAAGAGCTAGAACGGAACCTCCAGGTAAGATCCGCAGCCGCAGCAGGGTTCATTGGGAGCGCTCAGGAAAGGATGGCTCAGTGGTCCAAAAAGTTGTTTCCAACAGGGAGGCAAGCAACAAAATCCATTAGGGTATGGGAAGAAAATGTTTTGTATCTGGTTCATGTTTAAAATAAGAAATCAAGCTAATAGCATAACACATATATAACACAAATACATCATTTATTGGAAATTCAGCAAAAGGTGTTTTATGGAGAAAAGATGCACAATTTACAAAGTTCTGAGAGCTCTGGTCTGAGGCACTCCTCCAGCCACCTCTGCCTTTCCTAGGCTATGAAGCTGTGGATGCCAGCATACAGTCTCACTTTGGGTTTCATGTCCTGTCCTACTTCTGGTATGTCATCCTCCTGCCTCTCATCCAACCAAGAGGATGCCAAAAGAATGCTTAGCACATGTACAGAAATAGTGTCTCTACAATAAACACAGCAGGCCAACATGGATACCTTTTATTTACCTACCCAAACTCCTTTTACATGTGAGTTATCTGCAGTCTACCTTACCCCCGCTTCCATTCAGGTCCAGGATGAATCCCCTTGGCACAAAGGGGTGCCCCTTTAACTAGGGCCAGAGCCCAAATGATCTAGGGGAATCCCTCAACATGAAAAAAACAAAGAGAATGGAGAAAAAAGTTTATCACACCTAGCCCCCCACAGGGGGAGGGAGGATTAAGTGGGTTGGGGGAAATGCCCCATGCTACTGCCCTAGTCCTTAAATACAATGCAAGGGGAATGAAGAGGACCCTCCCTCGGAAATACAGCACCAACCTCAGCATGGAGGCAAAAGGACAGCGGGCAAGATCATTTCCCTCTGAAGGGGAAGGTGGAATGAGAGCACATACCATGAGTGGCTGTGGCACCCTCCCTACCAGGGTTGATGCAGCCTCAGCACCGGGATTGGGGAGAGGAGAGGAGAAGGGATGACAGTACTGCATCATCCACATCTCCCTAGACCCCCAGCCTCAATACAGGCATTCCTCTGCCTACTAGCCCAGGTCAGGGGATGTGGAAGAATCTGTGATGGAATCCAAGGCCCTCATCTATTTCTTCTTCCGTTCTTGGGAGCAGCGTGGGCAAAACCTAGAAAGAAACATGAAAGAGCGGGGCAGGGAAAAAGTGAGTGAAGGAAGATGCCCATTAGCATTCATCTTCAGGATAATTGTCACTTACCATTTCCCTCGAGGCTTGGTTGTCAGCCCCACACAGGCAAAGTGGAACCACTCAATGGAACACTGGAAAAGAAACAAGGTGGAAGATGTGGCAGGTCCCTGGATGGGGCAGAGGAATGAAAGGAAGACACTCACAGATTCCTTAGGAGTGCCCCTTTATTCCAACCCTTTGGAGACTTGGAAGTCCCAAGACTACCCAGCTCCAACCAACATCCTTCTATTCTAGAATCCCACTCTTCAGCCATGGGCCACCCTCCTTATACACACTTCTTTCATGCACCTCATAACCCCCCATCTTGAGGCAAAAGGGTTCTCACATCAGGGTTGTCACAGCCAATCATCTCTCCATAGGAGACCTGGTGACAAAGGCAATATGTGGGTTCGTTGGGATCCACAGGCATATCCAACACATCAGAGGGGTGGACACTGCCAAAGGTCACTGAGGGCATCCCATACTCAGGACTTCTGCATGCCAAGAGGAAGAGAAAGTGTCACGTGCAGGAAGGGAAACTATAACCTGAGACTCTCAGAAGTGTTAGGAAGAGATTCTGGTGGGGCAAATGGCTTGAGGCTTCTCCTCCCTGTCTAGCAGACACCAAAGTGACAAGGAGAACACAGGAAAAGTGGCAAGGGGAAGTGTGGAGTGGGAGTGGGGGTATCAGGAGAGAAGAGTACATCCTGGGGACACTCACGTGCGCACAAGTTTTAACTTCTTCTGAGCAGCCTTGGGGGCTTCTTCGTCTGAGTTCTTCCCTTTGGAACGGGCACGGGCAGCTTTCTTCTCCTTTTGAGTCCGGCCTTCTGGGGAAGAGGGGGAAAGCCAGGAGGCAAGAGACAGAAAGATGGGTTAAGTCCTCTTCCTTCTCTCTTTCCCTCATAGGTGAAGAGCCAGCTTCTTTTCCCTTTGAGTCTTGGCCTGCCTCTGAAAGCCCCGCCCCCCTCCTCACTCTTTTTGCCTTTGCTGGAAGAGCTGTCATAATCACTTGACTCGATCTGTTTCTCCTTCAGATCAGCCTCAAAACGGGCCAGGTCTGTGTCCAGTCGCCGAATGTGTTTGTCCACCTGCACGGGAATAAAGGAGAGATGTAATGCTGGTTCCAGTGAAAAACAGGCTCAGGCAGAATCTATGGATCTCCCAGATCCAAAACAGATCCCAATAGCTGAAAGAGGGGTCTAAGACCCCAAGGATTAGATGGGAGGTAGTAAGGAGCCATGAACAGGGCCATACCATCTCATAGGTCTGCATGGCAAGCTGCACCTTGTCGTCACCAAATTCCTTGCACTTGCCATAGGCTTCCTGGATCTGTCTGAGAAGGGCCAATTTTTCCTCGGAGCTCAGGCTGCGGGCGCTACTCATATACTCAGTGGCCAACTTGTCAATTTCAGCCTTCAGGTCTACAACAGAGACAGAGGCCTGGTCACAATGGCCCCGGGTGACTAGATGAAACATACTTCTTCCTCTTGCTCCTTGAATCTTTTCCATTGACCATGACAACCTTGGAACTAAATGGTACTCAATGTTCACTGTGCCATGTACTCAAATAATAAAACACATCGACACTCTTTGTAGCAGAGGTGCCTTCAAGGTGCTGAAAACACTGCTATCATAGTTGGGACTTAAATCACTGCAACACATTGTGGAATTCTTTACACACCATATTAATATGAGGTATATTTTTGTTGATATTTGAAGATGCTTCTTTGTAGACTTGCTGCTTCTTGACACATGAATTTTGTTCCAAAGGCTACCTTGATTCTTGTCTCAAAAACATCCTACAAAGTTTTTTTTTGTTTTCTGGAGACAGGGTCTCACTATGTAGTCCAGGCTGGCCTCTAACTCGCAATCCTCCTATCTTAGCCTCCCAAGTGCTAGGATTACAGATGTGTGCCACCATACCTAGCTCTAAAATAGTTCTGACTGCTACAAATCAGGCTGCTTCATCTGCTATTCTGGCTTCCAGAATTTTTTTTTTTTTTTTGAGGTAGGATCTTGCCATGCAGCCCAGGCTGGTTGTGAACTTGTGATCTTCACCTCCACCTCCCAAAGGCTGGATCTGAATATTTAACATTAGGCCCTACTTCCTCCATGGAGCGGTTCTTCTTCTTATCTTACTGCCTACCCTGTTTTGCTTATCATTTGCAACTTGCTTACATTTCCCGTTACTTTTTCTGCTTATTCATTTTAGATACTGCTCCAAACAGTTTAATACGGGAAGGCTGGTGATGGCCCAGGACACAGACTGAAGACATATATTCCCTAACATTTGACAAGGCTCATAAAAATGTTAACAGAAAGGGGAAAGTCTGACTAACACGGTGCATCAACACTTCAAGGAGGATCTGCAAATATGCTCTCCAGGCCTTTGGAAGAAGCTGAAAAAGCTTCTTATTATAGTTTCATAATCTCTAACTCTAGAGTTAGAATTGTGTTACAAAGAAAGCCAACTGGTTCCCACCACTTGGCATGCAGTTGTCAGGGGTTGATGTCAGGATTTTAGGTGATGTTCACTTTTTTTTTTTTTTGACAGTTCTGGGATTTGAACTCAGGGCCTCATGCTTGCTAGGCAAGTGCTCTACCACTTGAGCCACTCCACCAGCCCTTTTTTGTGTGTTAGGTATTTTCAAGACAGGGTCTCACACACTATTTGCCAGGGCTGGCCTCAAACCTCGATCCTCCTGATTCTGACCCTGAGTTGCTAGGATTACATGTGTGAACCACCAGCACAGGCCACCTTTTCTTGAGTAAACTTAAAACTTAACCTGAGTAACTTAAGACACAGACTCATATATCCTAATGCCAGCTTGTTACATTTTTGAGCATGGCAACATGGACTGGAAGTAAGACATATATCCTTCAGTGGGTATGAGAACAGCTCCAACACACGTTGGATCTTGAACAGACCAATCTGACCATTGGAGTACAGCCTCTCTCAGGCTCCAAGTGGATGCCTCAATGTAGCCAAATCTGCTCACTGTCCAAGGCCAGAGATGGCATCTAACACTTCTGTAGGGTTGAAGAATACAGTGTGGAGATCCTGATGTTAACTGCTGCCTTTCTTTTCTCTTTTGTCTTTATTTCTTCTCTTTCTCTGCTTTTAAGAAGAACTTCTCATACAGCAAAATTCCTGTCTACAACATGAACTGTAGTCTAAAGCCCACTGTGAATTTTGTGATGGCAACATTAACAATGCAATGAGGTAGAAACACTCTAGTTATCATATAAATGTATTGAACATGGACAGCAGAGATGGTGCTAGAGTCGACATTGGTATCTTGAATTCTTCTTGAGGAAGGTAGAGATAATGACATCTCTGAATTCTTTTTTTTTTTTTTTTTTTCCCTGTACTGGGGCTTGAACTCAGGGCCTTCACCTTGAGCCATTCCACCAGCCCCTTTTTTGTGTGATGGATTTTTTTGAAATAGGGTCTCATGAACTATTTGCCTGGGCTGGTTTCAAACTGCAATCCTCCTGAGCTCTGCCTCCTGAATAGCTAGGATTATAGGTGTGGGCCACCGGCTCCTGGCAGCATCTCAGGCAATGTTTCATTCCATCTGTTATGGAAAAGCTGATATAGAAATGAGGATCATCATTACCTTCTTTTAAGAATTACAAAACAATAAAAAAGTTTTTAAGAATTACAAGAAGTCAAATCACAGTTCCTCAGATCATAACATATGATATGGTAATAGAAAGTAGAGAAATAAGTGATTACACACAAGAACTCCTTATTCTGTACATACCCTCTGTTCTTTGGTCTAGGTCCCTCATAAGCTGAAAGTTTCTCTGTAATTCAAAGGGAAGGTTTTCGATACCTAGGGAAAAGACAAAAACAAGAGTCAGTGGACTACGTACATGTCTTGGCAAGAACTCTACCACTGAACTACACCCCAGCCCTTTAAAGCTCCTTTTATTTTTATTTGTTTACTTTTTTCTTTTTTTTCCCTCTCACAGCATTGCGGGTAGAATACAGGGCCTTGAACATGCTAGGCAAGTCTCTACCACTGAGCTACACTCCCAGTCCTACAGCTCCTTCTAAAGTACAGTTGTTTTCCCTCATTGAAACCTCTGGATTTATCTGTGAGAGGATTTATCGTTTCTACCTTTTTGGGTGGTACCTGGGTTTGAACTCAAGGCCTCACATTTGCAAGGCAGACACTTTACCTCTTGAGCCACTCTTCCAGCCCCTTCATCATGTCTCTCACAAGGGGCAGTGTTTGCCTCTGTCTCCCCACAACTAATTTCTCTGCCTCTGCACAACTTTCCTACCCCTTTCCTCTTCAGGGGCCTTATTGTACATATCAGCCTTTCCCTTTCCTTTATGTTCAATCTCTGCCTCCAAGCACCTTGACCTTAACTTCCAAATACCATCCTAGTATCTACTATCTACTCTCCATAGAATAGCCTGAATGTTCTCTTAAGAAATGAAAACTTCAAGTCACTTTCCTGCTATAACCTTCCAGTAACATATTGTTGGTAGGGTGTTCTGCACTTACTGACCCTTGCTTACCTCACAACCAGCCATTCAGTCTCTCTTCATGCTTTCTCTGCTCTGATCACACTGGCCTTCTGAGTGCCTCAAACTTGCCAGCAGCTTTCCACGTTGTTCTGCTGGAATGCACTGCTCCAGCTTCCTCCTCCCACCCCCACCATACCTCCTGGCCTACTCAATTCCTGCTCATTCTTCAAGGTTCAGCTCAAACTTGACTTCCCCAGACTCTGACAAGTGTCCTCCATATAAACCATCAAGGTATTCTAGCTTTATTTTAGCACTTATCCAGCTGTAATTAAATAATTATGTAGTTACTCAGTGTCTATCTCTCTAGCCCTTCAGAAGGACTGAAATATGTCTGTCTCCTCCCTCATTTCCCTAGTGTTTACAATTATGACTTGCACACAGAAAACACTCAGTGAATACTTGAATAAATTATGAACATTTACATCTCCCCCACACAAGAAAAAAATCTCTTCCCATAGCTCCATCTCAAAAAAAAGTTTTTCTGGTGCTGGGGAATCAAACCCACGAATACTTGCCCATGCCAGTAAAGTTCTCTACCACACTTCAAACACTTTTTTTCTTTTTTTGCAGAACTAGGGTATGAACTCAGAGCCTCACACTTGCTAGGCAGGGGCTCTACCACTTGAGCCATATCTCTGGCCCTTTTTGCTTTGGTTATTTGGTGGTTTTAAGATAAGGTTATTTTGTTATTTTGAGATATCCCATTTATGCCCAACTGGCCTGGACTGTGATTGTCCTATTTATGCTCCTGTCTAGCTGGATGACAAGCGTGTGCCACCACACCCAGCTCTTTATTGGTTAAGATACAGTCCCTCAAACTTTTTGTCCAGGCTGGCCTACAACTGTGATCCTCCCAAATCTCTGCCTCCCATGTACCTAGGATTATAGGTATGAACCAGATTACCTCAAACTTTTAAAATGCCTTTACTGTTTTAACCTATCTCAAGTCTGCCCAACACCAGTTCACTGGGTTGGCTTACCAAATCAGATGACCTGTTATTCTATCCTAAAAAAGAAAAAAATCTCTGGGGCAGCTGGTACTAACTTCTCTCCAAGTAACCTTCCTCCTCAGGATTCCATTTATTATCTTATACCTTTTGAGACTTACAACATTGATGCCTGACCCTTAAATGTTTTCTTGAGATTACATTTTAATCCTTTCATTTTCTCACTTGTTTTCCCTGACTTATCTCCTTCACTCTCATAGATATAATTACCATTCCTATGCTTAAGTCTAATTTGTTGCTATTACTCTTGAATTTGCTATCTTGTTAATGCTATATTGTCTACCATAGATTCTTCCTTCTCTCCAACTCCTCAGTCATTCAGTTGTTAACTCCTAAAAATTTCTGTCATTCCTTGAGTTGGGTCCTCATCTCTGACTTGGACTGTTATCACTAACTCATCTCCCTTTTGCAAACATTACTATGCTCTGACTTACTGTATGTCAGTTATGTTCCTTTATACAAATCATACTCTACTTTAAAATGCAAACTTCTTAGCTCAGTTTAAAAGACCTTGTCCAATCTAGCTCCAGCCTCTTTTCAGACTCACTTCCAATCTCAGTTTAAAGTCATATGTCAAACACTTCTGAAACTCTTTTCCTTCACCTTCCCATAAACTCATCACAAATACCTGTGTCAATGGCGTCTCCAATCCGGAATTCCCTTTATCGCTCTGCACTGGCAAATATACAAATTACCCTCAAGATCCTATTCAAAAATTGCCTTCTCTGTAAAAGTTTTTTGTATATCCCAGGTAACCTAGTCCCTTTCACCACTGTTATACCAACTTTTTTTTTTTCTTTTTTGGCAGTACTGGGGTTTGAACTCAGGGCCTCACACTTGCTAGGCAGGTACTCTTACTGTTTGAGCCACTCCATCAGCCCACCAACTGACTTTTCAATGTAGTCCTAGTATTTCAGTTGGCACAGTTTTCTAATTATTATTATTGATTTGGTGGGACTGGAGTTTGAACTCAGTGCTTTGCACTTGCACTTGCAAAACAGTACCACTTGAGCCACACCTCCAGTCTATTTTGCTCTGGTTATTCTGGAGATGGGGTCTCGAGAACTTATTTTTTGCCCAGGATAGCCTCGAACCACAATTCTCCTAATCTCAGCCTCCAAAGTGGCTAGGATTGCAGGTGTGAGCCACCAGCGCCTGGCAGTTTTCTAATTGTTTACTTGCAGAATCTGTTTATTACAAGCTTGTAAGCTTCTAAATGTCCAGTGTCTGCCATTACGTTTGACCCATGCAATTCCTTAATAATTCTCTGTTGAATTAAAAAATCACTCTTAGAAAAATGAAAAAAAAAAAATCACTCTGGCCACTAAGACAAACCTAAGTGCACAGGATGTTTTGTCAACGAGTGGGTTACACAAATGGCATAAACATAACATCAGATTTGCATTTGATGGGTATTGGATTTTTTCCTCCAAGAAAAGAAGCCTTCCAGTTCATTTAACATGGGTAGCCCCACCCCACCCACCTTCTGAAAAAACTGACTGCAAAAGACTGGAGCAAGTCTTTGCCGCTGTCCCAAATGGCAGTGTGTGATACCGACCGGGAGCCACTTTGGGGGGGAAAAAAAAAATCTACCCTGAAGTCAGAGACCATGAAGAATGAGGGCAACACATACCTTTCCTGCTATGCCTACTAGCCCTTCAAGACATATCCCTGATCCACACCGCGCAGCGCCCCCCAGGTCTAACACCCAAGTGAGGCCTCGAAGCTACTGCCCCGCCCCCTCTTTTTTCACCTTCCAATAAATCCTTCCACGAAACCCCTTCACAACTGTGAGTTTCGCAATACCGGGACTCCGGGGCCATAGATTCTCTTGGCCCCGATCCCACCCACCACTCTATGACCCCCTGACCCCCTCCTCCAGCCTGCTCTTACTGTCCAGATAATGTTCCAAATACATCCCAGCAGCCATCTTGAAGCAAAACAAAGCAACTTCCGATCCGCCTCGGAAGTGACTGAAAAACTACAGGCGCTGGAGCTATTTTTAGATTAGTCTTTCCGCCCTTAAAAGGAGAACTTCCGCCCTTAAAAGGAGAACTTCCGCCCTTACTAGCTTATCCGTCGGACACATCCGCCCGACGTTGAAGCTTTTCCTTTTGCGTGTATAGTCACGATCGCCCACGGCGAAGCTACTTAAATCTCTTCCGCCCATACTAAGACCCAGTGCGCGACTGCTAGAGGTATGACGTCACGGAAGGTCGCCATTTTGCATTCTTTAGCAAACTTTTTTTCCCTCCAAAAACGTAGTGTGTGGTAATAAGGGAAAAAACTGTTCTGTTTCACATTTCGTCAACATTCCTTCTCAGGAAAGTGGGGAGTCCCAACTTTTTTTTCTTTTGCATATATGAATCTGGTACCAAGCAAGTCACAGCTGAAGAAGGATTTGCTCCAAAGCAGCTACTTAACGAAAGTTAGTAGTTAGTTATCAGGCATTAAGAAATTTAAGTCCTCTGCATTTCTTACTCACAGGAACAACATGTTCCAGATTACCATTGTGTTGGAGCTTGTACCCAGGATTTCAGGCATGCTAAGCAGACTACACCAGTATTATTTTCAACAAGAAATACTATAAACTTTCTATTTATAAGTATGAAGAACTACACAACAAAGCTATAATTCTGGACGCTTTTTGTCAGGGTTCCTGAGCTTTATACTCAAATACACTTTCACATATAAAGTGACATAGTGCTTTATGTCTTTGCTCTCCTGCCACTGTCTTGGTAAGGGGGAGTGCCTATGCTTTTTCTTTCCTTTTTATTAGAATTTATATGTTGACATGATTCTGATACTGACATTCTCAATGGACTGGGGCATGCAGCTGTATCACAACTGGGCCATTCAGATGTGAACTATCATCCTTCGTTTGATATAGTGTAGTGAACACTGCCTTAGGGAAACAAACTCAAAGCCTGCAATGGTGTTCAGAAATAGATGTTAGCCTTAATTCACAAATCATAATTAATAGAGTCACAGAGTAGGCTTTTAAGACAGATTTCAGCCACATAAGTCAGACCAATTATGTAAAGGGCAAGATAAAACCTCAGATTTAAGATTTACTGGTGAGCACATGCTAAGATACAGCAACAGAATCTGGACTACACTCAATTACAAGTGTCATGACCCTGGATACTTTAACTAGTATTTCCTTCTCTATACAATGGGAATAATAGTACCTACAGCACAAGATTGTTGTAATGACAGAGTGTGAGCTTATCCTCTTTTGGTGGTACTGAGGTTTGAATTTGTGGTTGCTAGGCAGGTGATATATCACTTGAGCCACAACCCCAGACCAAGCTTATCCTTAAAAGAGAAAATTCTGTTCTGATACTTTGTGATGAAGATAGTGCTGTCAAGGCCTTTTCAACAGTTGTTGGGAGTGGGAGAATAAAAGCAGTCAGTATTCAGGAAGCGAACACTGGCATATTTACATTCATTAATGTCACATGACTGAGACATCTTGGATGCCCAGTCCAAAATTAAGTGGGCCTTTCTTATCCACCACCTGCTAGGTAATGAGTACTGCTGGCCAGCAGTCCAGAGAATTCCAAGTTCTCAGATGTGGGAGCTTAGTTAATGTTTTAGGGATTTTTTTTGGGTTTTTTCTAGGTACTGGGGATTGAACCCAGGGTCAACCACTCTACCACTTGAGCTGTGCCCCTAAGCCCTTTCACTGATTTTTAAAGAAAGGGTCTTAATTTTCAACAAAGAAATCTTGGAAGTTTAGCTCAATCATTTCACTTAACAGCTGAAGAAGTATCAGGGCCAATACTGGTGAATGGTAGTTTGGAGGTAAGTCTAGGTTTCCTAAACATGTTTTACTCAGTACAGTTATCCTGCATCGTGTGAGGTGAATATAATCATTGACCTACAGAAATTTATGTGTTCTCCATAGTTAATCAGGCCTAACCATGTAGCTGATCATAGTTTCCATCAATGGAAAACCTGGTTATGGGTGCTAGAGTTTAATGCACATATATGTTTACAAAGTGCCAAAAGGAATTAGCTGAGCAACTAGGGAGGCTCAGGAGGCAGTAGAGGCCCTTTCAAGAGGCCATGCTTACATTTTTTTGGCTAGGGAGTATAGCTGTTTTGTTAACTGAAAACTTACTCTCTCATATTTAAGCAATGCAGTCCCCATGACAGAATTTGTACATAGAAACCTTTTTGTTTTGGTGATACCCAGGCTTGAACTCAGGGCCTATACCATTAGCCACTCCACCAGCCCTTTTATTCTTTTTTGTGGTTTTTTTGGATAGGGTCTCAAGAACTATTTGTCCAGGATGGCTTTGAACTGTGATTCTCCTAATCTCTGCCTCTTGAGTAGCTAGGATTACAGGTGTGAACTACTGGTGCCTGGCTCCATAAAAACTTTAAGCAAAGGCTTCACTTGAGAGAATGAACCCATACCCTTCTATGGTGGGGAATTACACACATGGAGCCTCATCACACATTCATTCTTCACACATTCACTCTGGTACAGTTCCTTAGCACTGTTCTTGAACATCTCCCCAGAGAGCTTTTTCCCATGCTCACTTACATCAGTAGCTCCACTGCCTCTGATCCTTTTACATGAATTTATTTCTATACAATGTTCTAAAAACACCCCTTGGTTTGTACATAATTTTTTCATTTTTAAATTCCTTTATAACAACTGGTTCCTGATTATTTCTTAAAATTTTTTTCTCTGAAGTCTGCCATGATTAAAAAGTAAAAAAGCAAAAGGAAATAAAAATGCCATGGCCAGAGGACAGGGTGGAGAAAAAAAAAAGACAAAAATAAACAAAACATCAAATATGAAAACTCTTGAGATAATGCATTTATAAACACAGAAATGGTTACAACAAAGATGGCCGTGATGAGTGGGTATATATATATATATTTATATATATATATTTATATATAAATCCATGTCCGGCATCTGACCGTGGCACCTAGGGAGCTAAGTCTGGTCCTCGTGTGTGCCCTGAACTCTCCCTTCTCTGCAACACCCTTGTTTTGGGGTTTCACAGAGAACACAGCTCCCACAGCAACTTGGGGTTGGGGTGGGGAAGACTTGAGAGTATAGGTCCTTGATTGGCAGAGAAGAGGGAGGGAGACTCCAAGGAAAATCGTAACCCACACTTTTAAGCTACCCTTGGCCACATGGGGAATTTCTGGCCCCTTGGGGACCACATCTCAGCCCCTATCCCCTTATCAAATAAAAAAGGAGGTCTAATCCCCACCCAAACTCCCTCTACCAGAGCTAGGTGGGAAGTGAAATTGAGACCATGTAGGGTAAGAAAATGGCTCTCAGGGTGTGGGGCATTTGAGAAACCTGTTCTTTTGCAGGCAAGCAGAGAACGGGAGGCTGGTTTTTTTAAGGGCTCCCTTCTTTCTGTTATTTGGGAGGGCCAGCCTCTAGTCTTCTATCAGCCCCAACTCTGAAGAAGAGGAAGGAAAGGAGAGGTAAGTGCCCACACTGGACCAGTTTCTGCGAGGTCACAGCAGATCCTTCACTTGAGCACCAACCCCCATTTTAAAAAGCTTTGCTTGAAAGGGGTCTGCTGGATGATACCATCAGCTCAGGATTCCTTTGCCAATCTTCCTTTTGAAGAACAGTTGAGAATAAGGATGGCATCTTGTGAAGGAAAGCCGTGTCTGAGGCCCAAGGAAATGGAGCCAAGGCTTGTCAAAGAATAGAACTTTTCCCACCAAGAGAGTTGGAGAAAGAAGGGACCAGAACTTCTTTCACCTCTTCCCAGTGGGTGGCAGCATGGATCTCTAAGAGCTGGCTAGGTGCTCCACCTGGATGGTGCTGGTGGTGACAGTGAGGCAGATGTCCTTATGATGCTCCGCTGTCTTATAGGGTGTCAGGTCAAAGGAACACTGGGGTGGAGGGTTGGGGTTGCTGTCTCCACTCCCCCCACCCGGGGGAGCTGCCCCAGGAGATGGGAAGTGTGGTGGCTGTGGCGGCTGCTGCTGTTGCTGCTGCTGCTGTTGCTGTTGTGATGCCTGGGAGGCCTGGGCCTGGGCCTGGGCCTGAGCCTGAGCCTGGGCCACTGCTGCTGCTGCTGCTGCTGCCTGCACTTGTTGCTGGAGATCAGGAGGGTTATGTTTGCGCATATGTTTCATAAGGTATGTTTCCTGAGAGAGATGGTAAAAAGAAGTTGAAGGATGAAAGGGAAGAAAAAGAGATGACTTATAACTAGTATTCTGGGCTCTTACTCTGTGTTAAGTAGAGTCCATAGTATGCAGAACTCAAGAAGCACTTTTAGTCCTCACTGTTGGGCAGAAAGGGGGGGTGGGGGAACCTTTAGAAATCACTGTGAACCTTCAGCTGACAGAGGGAAAAACTGCCATTTTTCTTAATGATCTCTGAATGGAACAACTTTACAGTCTTCCTGGAGTCTCAATTTTTTTCTTCCTCCAAAATTTCCTGTTGCTTTATCTTGCCTTATGTTTATCTACCTTTCTTTATAGATGTAGGGTATCAGGCATAACTAACTTTCTGGGTACGGTGCTATTTTTGAATGTTTATTGATTCTGGAAAGTGGGAGCTAGAAAGGCAAAGTGTCCACTTTATCCAGAAAGAAGGGACACAGTGGACTGTTGTCTGGTAAGGCCATGGGGAAGGAAAGGGAAGGATCTGAGCACTCACCGATGTATACGCCCGACTACAGATAGTACAGGTGTACACCTTGGCATGCTTCACCGTATGCGTAGATAGGTGCACCTCCAGTGAGGCTGCGTCTGTGTACGCCCGATGACAGTTGTGGCACTTGAAGGGTTTATCTTTGTTGTGCTGCCGTCTGTGTGACTGAGAAAACCAGGAGAAATCAGAGTGAGGGCACAGTTCTTTCCCTGCCTGGCTTCTTGCCTTAAAGGAAAGCTCTCAGGTAGATGCCAGGCCTCTCAACTTCCCTGTCTAGAAGGCAGCAGAGGTTGCTCACATGGAACTTTAGAAGTAGGAGGTTATGGAAGGAAGCACACTTCATGTAGCACATACCAGGATTCCCAATGTTAGAATGGTGGCTTATCGCTGCTTGGTCTCCTTCATCCAGTATTCTTTTTGGTGGTACTGGGGTTTGAACTCAGGGCCTACACCTTGAGCTACTCCACCAGCCCTTTTTCGTGATGGGTTTTTTCAAGATAGGGTCTCTCGAACTATTTCCCTGGGCTGGCTTCCAACCACAATCCTTCTGATCTCTGCTTCCTGAGTAGCTAGGATTATAGGCGTGAGCCACTGCTGCCCAGCTTATCCAGTGGTTCTTAAAGTGAGGTGTGGGGATCTCTAGGGAACACCTGGACCTTTTCAGGGGCCCACAGGGTCAAAATTCTTTTCAAAGTAATAGACAATTCTTTCACAACTGTACAGAGATTACATATGTGACATCACAACAGACTAATGCAGTAAATTTGAGAATATACTCAGCTTCAGCTAAGCCAGGCATTAAAAACACTTGCAAAAATGTCAGGCATGGTGGTACATTCCTGTAATTCCAGGACTGGGAGGCAGAGGCAAGATCTCAAGTTTGAGACTAGCCTGGGCTACATACTGAGTTCAAGGTCAACCTGGGCTAAAAAGGAAGTAGCTGTCTCAAAACAAGAAAAAAACCAACCAAACAAAAAACAACAACAACAAAAAAAGCAAAACACCAAGGGTTGGGAATATAGCTCAGTGGTAGAGCACTTGCCTAGCATGTACCAGGTCCTGGGTTTGACCCCTTTGCTGTGAAGATGGAGAGGGAGCAGGGGAGAGATAGTGGGAGAAGACAAGAGAGGAGAGGAAAGAAAAGAAAAAAGAAATTTGCAAAAGTGTAAAGCAATGCCATTTTCCCACTAAGTTCCTTTTGAAGGATTTTTTGAACGTTACTTATGTTGACATGCAATGAGTTTATACATTGTTCTTTTAAAAATGGATTACTAAGCTTCACAGTATCTATGTAGACACAGATAAACGAACATAAACCAAAGTTCTTTGGGTTCCTCGGTAAAAAAACTACTTGGAGGCTGTGTAGCTGGCCATGAACTCATGATCCGGCCTCAGTTTCCTGAGTGTTGGGATTAGAGGTGTGCACACTGCCTCTGTAAGCTTATCTTTTTTGGCGGTACCAGGGTTTGAACTCATGGCCTCACTCTTACTAGGCAGGCACTCTACTACTTGAGCCACTCCACCAGCCCTGTTTTGAGTATTTCTGAGATAGGGTTTCACAAACTATTTGCCCGGGCTGGCTTTGAACCGTGATCCTCCTGATCTCTGCCTCCCAAGTAACTAGGATTACAGGCATGAGCCACCAGAGCCCAGCTTCCTAAGTTTTAAGAGTAGAGCAATCCTGAGAAAGTCTGAGAAGGACAGTGTTTTATCAAATGACACTCCCATCCCAGTTCAGACTGAAGGTCTCATGTGGATGATGGAACACTTACCTGCAGATTGGAGAGTTGTGTGAAGGCCTTCTCACAGCCCGGGTGTGCACATTTGTACGGTCTGTCACCAGTGTGGATTCTACACAGGATGAGAAGAGAAGAAAGAGAATGGATTTCAGCAGCAAGGCCACGTAGGGACTCACTGCTTAGCAGACTTCCTTCAGGCCTCTCAGGTTCCCTCCTGAGGAAGCTCATCAGATGGGCCCACAGGGGGCACCAGTTTTAGTTCCTCTCCGACCTGGATCCAGTCATTGCCTGCACTCAGCTCAAGGTGAGCACCCCCTCTGCTGGAAGAACAGGGACTGAGGCCTCCACACCCAGGGGACAGGCGGTTCATGATTTGGCAAACAAGTCCATTCCTATAGTAACTCCTAGTAACTTGGTTCAGAAACAAGGTAAACACTAATGGTAAGGAAAAGAAGAAACAACACTTCTTCCTTGGCCCTAGCCCCTCAGCCGGAAACTATCCCTTTAACCTTGAACATCATTTCCAGAGAAATTTCTGGTATAAGTGAAAGCAGAGTTAAGTTGACCGTGGAAAGTAGCAGTGACATTACTGGAAACTCATGGAAGTTTCTAGGGGTTTTTCTCAGTCTAGTCCCCTAATGGCAGAAATGTCAAAGTTAGTACCAATTTGACCTCTTCCTTCAACACCACAGGGCCCTCTGTTAAGATAAGCCCATGACTTGAAGGAGTGTTAACACCTGCTCCTCATCAGGGACTTCAGAACCATCTTTGTGACCAGGTACTTTTCTGGACCCTTCATATAAAGCCTCAGAAACATACAGGACATGTCTCTTCTTTATGAAGATAGCCCAACTCCTCTTCTCAAAGTAAGATGCTCAATCACTTTCAAGCTGAATCATCAGATGTACAAGAAGCAGGGTAAGATGGCCTATGCCCAGGAGGAGTCTGGATCCAGTTCAACTTCACCACCAAAGGAGACCATCAGCTCTTCTAGTTGGCACATTCCCTTCCTCCTAGTCACTTAGGATTCAAGGGTTGAACAGGGGGCATCCTTAGGAAGTAGGAGCTTTTTCATTTTCTGTTTGCCAGTTCTCTGTGAATATTTAGTACATTTTTGCTTTGTTCTCCATTCCTTGCATCCCTTGGAACTTTGCTTGTTGGAGTGGGTGTCAACCAGGCTGATGCCACTCATGTCTAATTATTAGCTCCTGTTCATACTGGGTGCCCTGAGGGCTGGAGGTAGGGTCTTCTCAAATCAAATACCTTGACTTTAGCATCAAGGAGGAAATCTTGCAAGATGTGTGCACAGGTTATTTTCAGGGAGAGAAATGAGGAAAAGAAAAGCTGACTTTACTTCAGGTGTGTCTCTCAGCCTCCCATCAATCAGGGAGTATCACACAGTCACTATTATCTCCAACACAGCACTCTTGCCCCAGAAAAGGTTCTCTTAGCATCCACTTGAGTTGGTACTTGATCGTCTTTATCTTCAATGCCAGCCATGTTCTCCTCCAGCCAGGTCTCTCCTCCAGCCAGGTCTCTCCCCCGCCCCCCGCATGCGGGTTGTTGTGTGTGTCCGGGGCGGGGGGTGGGGAGGGCATGCCAGCGGGGCGGGGTCAGTAGCCTGCCCCTCTCCCTTACCGTGTGTGCTGCTGGAGGTGGGAGAGCTGGCGGAAGGCCTTCTGGCAGTAGGAACAGTTGTAGGGCTTGGCCCCCGAGTGGATACGGAGGTGCTGGGCCAGGTAGGAGGTGTTGGCGAAGGTCTTGGAGCAGTGCGGGCACTTGTGGGGCTTGATGGTCTCCGTGTGCATCTTGGAGTGGATCCTGCCGGAGAGGAGAGGAAGGAAGGGGGGAGGAGGAAGCAGTTCGACACCACGGGCTCAGCTCTCTGCTGGGTGAAATGATGTTGCTTGACGGATGAGAGCACCCCCTCCACCCTCCTCCCAAACAAGCTCCGGCCTGGAGAGGCTAATGTGAAGAGGATACCCAGATCTAGGTTGTTGCTGATCGCAAGTCGGTGGCTAGAATGGCAGTGAGATGATGAAGAGCTGCAACCCACGGCTCCTGGTAAACTTAAAAGTATTCAGTCTCATCAACCCTTGGCTTTTTCCTAAGGTTACACACTCACCACAGATACCCTGCTTCCAAATAGCAATTTGAACAAAGACCAATACCGCCTGTTCCCCATGGACCTGAAGTTGAGTGCACACCTTGGTTCTGAACTGAAGCATATAGTAAAAGGAGGGCCTGCTCTGCAGATTTCCAAACACAGACAGAAAGAGAAACCACAGAATTTTTTTGACTTTGGGACTGGAAACCACAATTTTCAAGGCCCCCCACTCTGCTAGGATGTAGTTTATTTTTCAGACAGTAAGAGACAACTGAGGATCCCAAAGTGCAAAGGTGAAAGGGGGGTTAAAAACATGTTGAGAGGGCAGTCAGTACAGGCAACATGGCCTTGGGAAGGGGCTTACAGCCAGGTAGTGGGGTCAAACAGAGAACAAGTCTTACCGGGTGTGCTGCTGAAGGTGGGAGAGCTGGCGGAAGGATTTCTCACAGAAGTTACAACTGTAGGGCTTGGCCCCTGAGTGGATACGGATGTGCTGGGCCAGGTAGGAGCTGTTGGCAAAGGTCTTGGAGCAATGCGGGCACTTGTGGGGCTTGGTCTCCGTGTGTGACTTGGAGTGGATCTGCATCTCCGACTTTGAGTAGAAGGTCAGCGAGCACATCCTGCACCTGGCCAAGTGAGGGCAATGTTAGAGCCTTTCCCACCAGGAGGCGCTGTAGAGCCCTTCCCTCCCAAGAGAAGCCCACCTAGCTGACCTCTCTCCTGTTCAAACTACAATGAGAGGCCCAGGAGAGTAAGAGCTCTTCTTATTCCTCTTTATAGTGTAAGCTTCTAACAGTACCCAGCATATGTAAACATTCAAATATTCAATAAATGCTTGCTGAACGAAAGGACATCCCTAAGTGTGCCAAAAAAAAAAAAAAAAAAAAGGAATTCAATCCTGGTAAGACAGAAAATATCATGGGATCTGGGTGAATGTAGATCTCATGATCTCATGGGGCCAGGAATATCAGTTAACTTATTTTCCTTCTTTCTATAACTTGACTTCAAACTTTTTTTTTTACTTCAAACTTTTGAAGAAGTCTTTTTCCCAGTTTCCCCATGTATAAAGTCTTTGTTTTCCCCAAGCCCCCCAGATGATGAAGAAAAACTGACTGGATTCTCTCCTGTCTCCACAGATATTTGTCTTCCCACAGATTTTTGGCATTTATTTCTGAGGGATGGAAGGTGGGAAGTATCAGAATTATTTGGAGGGGCTTTTCCAAATCATGCATGCCTGGCCTCTATCCTGTAGCTGATATTTCATTGTTCACTTAGCACCCCTTCCCCTCAGACACTTTTGAAATAAGCCAAATTAACTGTTGGGAGTGAGTTACCCCTCAAGTCTTTACAAGAAAAAGATCTGCAAAGCAACAGTGTTCCATGCTAGACTTCTTTTTTTTTCTAACACATGAAGCACATGAAGCCACTGTCAGCATTTGGGTGCACCAACAGCACATGAATATGCTCTCACTCATCACCTGAGCCAGAGATCCTACTTCCTGCTCTGACACTGTCTTACATGAAATAAGGAGGCCTCTGCACAAGTTAAGCCACAACTCCCTAGAATTATTAGGTAAAACTTATATGTGAGCTGGAGCCCTGTCACTTTCATAAACAACTCATCAGTGCACAATGTGAGCTAGCTGAAAGGGCAACAATTGGAAGCTAGGTGACTGAGGCAAGTCCTGCTCCCCTCATCCTACTCATAAGAGGAGCATGGTATCTGTGCAGTGATTATTTTTTCACTTCAGGAGTACTTTTTAGAGAATAACTGAGATCAAGACTTAAAAACAGAACTGAGTTTCTCAGAGAAAGCAGTTATCACTGTCAGTTAGGGTAGGTCTTCTATGTTAATGCCTTTACTAAAATTCAAATCATTAATACCAATTGTCATTTCTCTAGTCACTTGGTAACTCCTAAAATCTGACTACCAGTTTGTCAGTCCCTGCCTATTGTCTGATGTGGCCAATCACTGTAGGAGGAGGTGAGGTTCTGTTTATAGTCAGCATGGTCCACATACAGTCAAGGAGTCTGAGTACCTGGGCTCTATTTCAACAGAGGTCAGTAATAGGCTTGCTCATTAATCCAGACCTCAATTTCCTGGTTTGTAAAATGGAGAGATTAATTTTTGCTTTTAGGCTCCTAGAAGAGCTAACAAACATCGAGGGTAAGTCAAAGGTAAACTAAATGTTCTCTACTAGTAAAATGGCTTTAATGCTAACAACCTCAGAGTTGATGGGTGAGTTCATGCTACTAAATATTTTGCTAAAATTGAGGTTAGCAACTGATACAACGTTACTTAGAGGGGAACTATACTAAAGTTGCAAAACAACTTTCCTTGAAGGCTTAAATTTCTCAACTCAGATAAAACAACACTTCCATTAAAAAACAATTATTTTTGCAGTGCTGGGGATCAAACCCAGAGCCTCTCATATACTAGGCAAGCACTATACCATTGAGCTATATCCCCATACCCAACACATTCATTTTAATTCAAAGTATCGTTACTCTGTGTGAGGGTGTTCAACACACAACTATGCCCCCTAAAAAGAAAATAACCCTCTTCATTAAAGTTTCCAGTTAGAGAAGAACCTGTAAAAATAGATAATGAACTGGCAACAGAATAAACAACCTTGGAAAGTACTAGATATAATAATGATGATAATAACAATAGTAATAGTTGCCATTTGTTGTTGTGCCTTATATCGCCAGGCACTAGGTTAGGTACTTTACTTTTTTGGTACTGGAGCCGGACCTCAGAGCCTTGCCTAACAAGTACTTTATCACTAAGCTAAATCACCAATCCCTGAATTAGGTATCTTAAATAATGTTGCTTCTATTCCTTACAACAACCTGGCAAGAATTAACCCCATCCTATACAAAGGAACACAAAGGCTCAGAAAGTGAGTAATCTGTCAAAGGGCAACTATTCACTACAAAGCCTTGATGCTTATCTAATGCAAAATTCCTGACACTCAAGTATTCAAGCAAAGGCTAGACAGGTGAAGGGACTGACCTAAGTGACCATTAAAGTATAGGCCTCTGAGCATCTTAATCCAAAATTCCAAAATCTGAAATGCTCCAAATTCCAAAACTTTCTAAGCACTGACTTGACACAAGTGGAAAATTCCATGGCTGACCTCATATTACAGGTCACGGTCAAAAATGCAGGCTAACTAAATTACCTTCAGGCTATGTGTATGAGATATATATGAGGGTTGGGAGGTGGCTCAAATGGGAGGGCACTTGCCTAGCAAGTGCAAAGCCCTGAATTCAAACCCCAATATCACCAATAAAATAAAAATTATTTTGTATATTATATGAAACAAAAACAAATTTCTTTTTTTTTTTTTTTTTTTTTGGAGACTATGTAGGCAAGGCTGACCTCAAACTCTTGATCCTTCTGCCTGAGCTTTCCAAGTACTGGAATTACAGGCATGCTCCACCATGTCTGGATTCATAAATGTATCTCAGTTTTAGACTTGGGTCCCATCCCCCCAAGATATCTCATTATGTATATGTTAATTTTCCAAAATTTGAAAAAAATCCAAAATCTGAAAACATTTTTTGGTTCAAAGCATTTTGGATAAGGGCTACTCAACCTGCATTTCTAACCTGGAAATCTTATGAAGTCAAATAGAAAAGTCTTCTAATGTAGGGTGTTGGGTGGTTGGAAAGAAATATGAGTTAGGAGAGTTGTGGCGGAGGATAGTTGGCAAGGGATGGAAAAACCAACACCCATATCACTGGGAGAATCACTCTGAGGGACACCATTCACATCCAACCATTGTTAAATGGTGCCCTCGGAGGCATGCAATGCAGTGGCCTTGGTTACTATCCCCATTTTTTCCTAAGATGCTCAAAACAATTTCAAATACTTAGATTTTCCCTCAAAACATTTGTACAAGACAGATAAGAATATGACATCTTCCCATTTCATAGACAGAAACAAAGACATAAAGTTGACTTTCTCAGAGTAAAAGAACTCAGTTTCCCCCAGTACCCAGTCAAATGCTATTTTCAACTAACAGAATTAGGAATCTTTGTGATTAAAACAAAAAACTCTTGGGAACTTCAGAGTTCTGAGTTTCTAAAGGAATTCTTTTTGCCTAGGATGCAATTAGTCACCCTTCAATTTCAGAGTTCTCTTTAGTCACTCAGGTGTGAGGGCTGCAAGAATTCCAAAACCACTTGGTGAGGGGGTAGGGGAAGACGTGGAAAAGTCCTAACAGATTTCTTTCCAACTGAACATCCACATTTCTTTATATCCACACACTATGAGAAGTCCAGAGAAAGCTTTAATGCGGGTCCAAAAAAAAAAAAAAAGAAATTGGAGGATCCTGAGCTGCTAGAAGGGCCCCACAGGGTGGTTAGAGAATCCTTCCACTACTCCTACAACACATTTTATATAGATGTATCTCCATGTCAGTCACAATGATCTCACTTTAAGCAAACACATAAAAATCCAGATTTCTACACAATTAAGTTAAAAGTGATTTTCATTTTATGAAGTGATATATAAAAGAATGCCTTTAAATGAATCAAACTTGTCAGGTACCTTTATAATATGGTATGATGTAAACATTTTCCAGGAACACTTATTGTATAAAGTAGGGTACACCTGTAATAATAAAGCTGCAATGAACTTTGGGATTATGAGCTGGAATTCTGCAGTGCTCAATACTTTCTGCACTTTCAATACTGCCCTTGTTTTCACGTAGAAAGAAAGATTTAACACTATAGTTGTGGCTACTCTCCACAGAAGTACACAATGCAAATAAAAATAATTCTAAGTAATGACTTCTTTCTTTCTGTTGAAGTTCCCAACATTTCAAAACTTATCTAAAGTATACTCCCAACAAATGGGAGGCATAAACAGAATTTTCCCCATTTTACAGATGAGGAAACTGAGGCCCAGAGAGGGGAAAAGGACTTGCCCAGGGTCACACAGCAAGTTCGTGGTGGAGCCGGGAACTGAATCCATGAGCCCAAGGCTCTGTCCATTTCCTGTGCCGCAGTTCCCTTCGCTCCTAAAATGGGAACAACATTGCCCATCTCGGTACACTAAGGACAGACCCAGTCTCCCAGCCATGCACATCTGCCCCTGTCTGCATCAAAGCTGTGATAATGGGTATCCCACTGCACGCTGGGACCAAACTCCCAAACCCACTAGGGCCCTTGACAGCTGAGGGTATTAAAATTTTTTCAACTTTCGAAGGATACAGTTTACTTAGGAAATAATTTTGCATAGTACCACATGCAAATATGCATATAATGCTTTTTTGGTAATGGACAGCTTAGAGAAAGTGGAGGATTCAAAATGACTTCTATGAATTAGAAAGCAAATAGTCATTTTATGAGCATACATTCCAAAGGAGGGAGGTATCCTATCCCTCCCATCTTTTTATGTAGATCCCTCCCATCATCCCAACCATGCAGGGTCAAGTGGGCTCAGTGCTCAAACATGGCCCAAGAGCTGGTAGATGGGCACAGATTAGGTTAGGTGCTTTCTGAAAGGTTTCTTGGAAAAATAGGGAGTAGAAAACAGAAAGCAAAAAAGAAGCTTAGAGTCGGTAGAACCCAATCTAAAGCCTTATTAAAGGAGAAAAACTCTCCTGTTATCAAAGCTGATGACCAGCAAAACTGGAGCAAAAAAAAAAAAAAAAAAAAAGGAAGTGGGGGAAGAGCCACTATAAGTGCCAGCAGTTCTGCCTTCCTACCCCACAACAGAGTATCTGACATGCAAGTGGCTCTGAGGTAGAAAGCTGTCAGAGCATAGAGCCTGACTGGAGTAGGACACAGAGGGCAGGCAGGGGAAGCTAGACAGTGACCCTCACCCCATCTTGCCCTATCTCTGATTCCTACCTGTAGGTCTTGCCGTCTTTCTGGTGGTCATCGTCATCCTCAGGGGCGAGGACATAGGGGTCATTCATCTCGGGCAGTCCTGATTCCAGGATCCGCTTCTTCTTGCGGCCCCGTGGAGGCTTAGGAGCCACACTGCCACCTCCACCACCACCTCCACCTCCTTCCTCAGTTAGGGTTGAAGCTACCTTCTTGGAGAGGTCAGGGACCACCTGCAGGGCTTGTGAGCCAGGGGGAAGAGCTGAGACAATCATGGGAGCCGAAATGGGGAAGGTCTGAGCTGATGAGGCTGTGGTCACAAGAGAGCCTGAGGGGGATGTGATTACCAAACCAGGACCTAGGATTGGGAGAAAAAGGAGATGGTGTCATGCTGTTCACTCCTGACCCTACCCTATTTCATTTTATTTCCCCCAGATTGTTCTCTCATTAAACCCTCACCCCACCCCCCCACTCCCACAGTATACAGGAAACCCCAAACCCTGTAGAAAAATAATGGTCTCCTAACCCCTGCCCCACCCCACCCCCAGTAACAGTGAGATTTACCCCTTGATTGACTCCCTTCTCTTCTCCACCTCTGAGAACAGGAGACTCCTTGATTCAGAGAAGGAAAGAATGTCACCTCCTCAAAGGCAGGGACCGCATCTTCTACTTCTTTGTATCCCCCACAATGCCTAGCACATTGCTAGGCACACAGTAGGCACTTAATAAAAATTTGATTGAGCAATCAAACATATCCCACTCCCCATGTCCTCAGAGCCCTCCAGCCTGGGGTACTGATCATGGAAGATCAACACCTCAGATTGGAGAGGAGCAGAGATGCTCACCAGCAGTCATCAGTCCTGTAGATGGCACGGGGACCACTGTGATATTCTGTGTAACAGATGCCTGGCTGTGTGGGGTCAACTGGTCTGACTTGGACTCTGTGTCCATGCTGATGCCTGAGGGCAGGGACACTGAGGCAGGTACTGTCAACAAGGTGGGGTAGTGAGGTGGAGCCAGTCCACAGCCCTTCTCTGGCAACAGTTGATCTTTCATCTTGTTGATGAACATTGTGTTCTCAATCTAAAAAAAAAAGGAAGGGGAAGGAAAGCACCCTCTTCAGATTGAGCGAGCCTGACTTTGTCTATTCCCTAAGCATTTTTCAGTGTCTGTCCACCTCAAAGATAGAGGAACAAGTAGCTGATATCTTTGTGCTTTTAGACAGAAGTCAAGGCATAGATACTATACAATTCTCAGTGATGGAGAACTCAGTGAAATGGCATCTGGTTCACCTTGCTTGAGTATATTACTCAAATCTACTTACTCAGTAAAGAACTCAGTAAAGTAACTGATGGGACAAGCAAAAAGAGCAAACACCACTTACCTGACCTGAGACTGTAGGGATAGAAGGCCAGAAGTATGGGTTAGAATTGAAGTGAGATTCTTCCATTCTACCTGAAGAAAAACAGATAGACTATATCACAACCAGGAATAAATGTGTAGAACTTTAGCCATGGAGCAGAGGAGCTGAGGGGCTCCTGACCACATAACTGGGAATGAGCAGTACAGATCTTAGCATCTACCATATGCGTTCCCTTGGCCCCAGCCAAACTCAGTACTGTAGTCCCACTGGAAGAGGCTATCTCAGTGCTTGTGACAAAACTTATACACGTCTCACTGAGCTATAAAATATTTGCTAAGCCCCAAAGAAACAGAACTGGTATTACTTTCCTTCGTGGATGAGAAATGAGGTCTTGAGAGAGTTAGGAATATGCCCAAAGTCACACAAACAAATCACTGACTAGACTGAAAACAACCAGGTTACCTACCACTGTTCCCATTTTCCCTTATCCCTTAAATCCATTTCCTTGAAATAAAAATTTCAAGATTTCCAATCAATATGTCTACAGCCTGTGCAGCCTGAAAGGTTTTAGGCCAGAACAGAAAATGTCCAAGGGAATAAAATGAAACTGACAGGAACAGAAACCAAGTTCTTTTTTTTGATGGTACTGAGGTTTGAACTCAGAACCTGGTGTTTGCTAATCAAGTGCTCTACCACTTGAGTCATACCTCTAGTCTTTTTTGCTTTAGTTATTTTTCAGATAGGGTCTCCAGCTTTTTGCCCAAAGATACCCTCAGACCTTGATCCTACTACCTACACCTCCAGCATAGCTGGGATTACAAGCATGTACTACCATGCTAACTTGTCTTTTGAGATAGGGCGTTGCTAACTTTTTTTAACTGGATTGGCCTTGACCTTCAATCTTCTGATCTCTGCTTCCCGAGTAACTGGAATTACAAGCATGTCTCCTGGTAAAGGCTGAATGTTGGTCAAGGGTAGCTTCCCCAAATCCTAGACCAGGAAAGACCCAACTTCACAGAGGGCAGGTAAGGAGAGAGGGTTGAGACTAGGGGGGTTGCTCAGCAGTACAATGCTTGCCTAGAACCCTAGGTTCCATCCTCCACAGCAATAACAACAACAAAAAAGACTGGTGTAATGGGGAAATAAGGAATAGTAGAGAATAAACATAAAAGAAAAGATAAAAGTTTAATGAGAGAGAAATGCTAATTATCCTGATTTGATCATTGCATACACAAAGTATACGTGCATTGAATTATCACATTATACTCCATAAATATGTACAATGTTAAAAAATTTTTTTATCATCATGCTGAGCCAAGAGCAGCCAGGTTCACGTAGAGTAGGAAAATCTATGACTGACTCTAGTGAAAATACGCTGGGGGGTCAAATAGTGACACCAAGGCTGAAAGGTAGATGGGCACAGAACTGAGTTTCTGGTCATGACATAGCCCTGATCCTATCCCTCTCCAGGGGGCTATCACCTTTTTGCAGTGGTGCCCTCATCCCATTTTTTGCTCTATTAGACAGCATCCTCAATTTTTATAAAACTTGAAAACGGAATGAACTTGATTTCAGCCTACTTTTTAAAAACATAGAAAAAAGAGAGGGATGCACCAAATCTTTGACTATAATAGCTACATACTAGTAAAGTTCAACACTAAATGATTGAGGACCAACTCCAGACAAATCCTGATCCCTGTGTTACAAATGCAGTTCATCCTAGTATCCACAGGGGACTGGTTTCGGCACCCTCTCAATGATACCAAAAGCACATGCTCAAGTCCATTTTATAAAATGGCATGGTATTTGTGTACTACCTATGCATATATTGACCACATACTTTAAATCATATCTAAATTACTAATATGTTGTAAATACATAACTGTAACTGTACCTCATGTTTATTTACCAAACACAATGTAAATGTTATATAAACAGTTGTTATACTATATTGTTTAAGGAATAATGAATCACAAGAAAAAAAAGTCCATAATATTCAGTACAGACACAACCACCTCAGGGCTAACTACACAATGCACATCAGCAACTACTCAACATTTCTAGGTGAATTCAGACGTGGAGGGCCAAATGAATAGTAAAACTAGAGTCTCCCACAACGTCTAATCTAGCCTTCCATCCTTTACTTTTTGAAGGGATCTCAGGTCCTCATAAGGCAAAAGAATCAAGAAACAATCTGGTCACAATTCATGGGAATCCAATCCTGCCAAGCTTTTTGGGAGGCAGTGATAACATATCCTACATTTTTGTCTTCCCGGATACAGGATTTATCACCCAAAAAGCGATTACATATTTAATGATTTCAACACCAGTGGGCTCTACACATACAAATTTGGAAAATGATACTAGAGGCTCAAACCTTAAACTATGACCTCGTCTTTGTAATCTTTTGAGAGAAATGAGAGACAATAATGGCAATGGATGGAGAGAATGTAGAGAATTAGACTGCTGAGTAAAACAAAGGGAGGTCTAATATACAAATTTCCCCTAAAGAATAAAGGAAGTAAATGCATTGCAAATGTGAGAGTTTAGGAGGGAGGAACTGAGAGCCTGAAAATAAGAATGCACTCATATAGGATTCCTGAGAACAAAGTTCCTTCTCCCCAAAAAGATTACATCAATTCATCCTGTCCTACAGGTGGCTCAGGTGAAGCAGAGTTTCTGAATTTCTAAAGTGTTGAGGATACCCCTCCAAGATCTCATAAAGATGGCAAACAAAGTGATATGATGGACAATATCACCACCACCAGTACCACCAAGTGCTTAGTGTGTTCATGGTAATGTTCAAAGCACCCTACAATTCTTACGTCATTTACTCACTACAAGTCTATAAAGTAGGCACTGTAATCTTGATGTTTCAAATGAGGACACTGGAGGGACAGAGGCAAACAGTAAATGGCAGACCAGGGATCTGAACCCAGGCACCAGAGAGCAGGTTAAGGGACCAAAACCAACAAGTGATGTATACTTGTGTTGTGGCTTGATCCAGGTACTAAAACTTTTGAATCTTTCCAGGAATAGATTATACATTTTTCAGGTAGTTTTCAGTAAATATTTTAAGAACTGACAGGTTTTGTTGTTTTATTTTGCTTTTTTTGGTGGTGGTTCTGGGTATTGAATTCAAGACCTGATGCATGCTAGAAAAGAACTCTACCACTGAGCTACAACCCCAGTTCCAAAATTACTGTTTTTGTTTTTGCTGGGACTGAGGTTTGAACTCAGAGCTTTCAGGTTGCAAAGCAGGCACTTTACCATTTGAGCCATACCACCAGTCCATTTTTGCTCTGGTTATTTTGGAGATGGGGTCTTGTAAACTATCTCCTCGGGCTGGCCTCAAACCAAGATCCTACAGATCTTAGCCTCCCAAGTAGCTAGGATTACAGGTGTGAGCCATCAGTGCCCAGCAAAAATCGAAGTTTTTGATAACAGCAAAATGACATGCAGTTCCACTTCATATTCTCTGTACGCATCTTGTGAAACCTCACTTGACTACCCAGATAACTCATTTTAGAATGATGGGGTCTGAATAAAATGGTCAAGACTTTCCAGAACAAAATAGATAAAAGGCACCTCCACTATCTAGACAACCAGTCTATTGCTCCGCTTTGGTTTGAAGAGAACAAAGCTTAATCCTGGTACAAGACAGGACCATACATGTGCCTCAGGGGCTTTTGATAAAAACATCAGCCCAAAATGGGGGCACAGGGAAACCACTGCACCTTCAACTATACACAGTATTTACCTGTGAAATGACACCTGAAAAAAACTGTTCCATTGGTAAAGAATTGACTTAAATTTATGTAGCTTTTGAAATGAAATCAGATAGTCAAAAATGAGGCTTTTGTTAAAAAGCAATGTATATGGCACCCCCTGGAGTTGTGTAACAGGGTGCCCTGGTGAAAATTTCTGTTTAGTGTCCATTTTATTACTTACCCTCTCACTCTGTCCTTCATGTATGAACTCTCACCAAACTATCCAAATATCCAGCAGGATATACCAACTTTCTGAAGAAGTTTACTGATGTTATAGGGGAAAACTTATCTCCACACAGATTGCCAATTTGGATGATTATACCATTAAAAAGAAAGAAAAAAATGGCTGAGGGTATGGCTCAAATGGTAGAGTGCTTGCGTAGAAAACCTGAGGCCCTAAATTCAAACCTCAGTAGTGCCAAAAAAAAAAAAAAAAAAAAAAAAAAAAAAAAAGATCTGGGGCATGGTGGTACACACCTATAATTCCAGCATTCAGAAGACTGAGGCAGGAGGATCATGAGTTTGAGTCCAGTCAGCACTACATAATCAGACATTGTCTCAAATAAATAGACAAAAACCAGTTTATTCTAGTCTAGGAATGAAGAGGAATGCTTCTCTTATATTTCCAAGGAAGGAAAAAAATAGAGAGAAAGAAGAATGCTGCCAGATTGTTAACCTGGGTTCTAATTTCAACTTTACCACTGTATCAAGTCTCAACTGTTTTTGTGGTCTACTAAATTAAATTAGATAGTACTTTTTTCATTCAAGGTCTCCAATCTCAAAAGGAACACTGGAAGCACAGGGGAGGTATATAAACATTAAGTAACATCCATGAAACACACAGTAGGACATGAACTCTTGCACCAGGGCTTTGTCCCTCTGACCACATCCTTCCACAGTGCCCCCACCATCCAGGGATACAGGGGTCATGGCCTTGAGCAAGTGTTTTTGGCAAACAGGGTGAAGATCACCACCTCTTCCCCAGCACATACTACTGTATTTCTACTTTTTTTTCCCCAAGCATAGCATGATTTTCTTTTCCTAAGAAAATAACATTCCCTTAACATAAGCAACCTTTAGAAAACTGAAGAGTCATAGAAATACTTGCACCTGACAAGACTATTAGTGACAATTAGTGAAAATTACATTAGAACTATATAATTACAAAGTAACTACCCTAAAGTAAAGAATATATAGCCTCCACTTAGTAATTATTTACGAGATATACCAACAAGATATACCTCCTCCCCTAAAAAATCAATTTGAGGGATGGGGATATGGCACAAGTGGTAAGAGGCCCTGGTTCAATCCCTACTACTACTACTACTACTACAACACACACAGGAAAAAAAAAAAAAAGAAAAGAAACTTGAATTCAATTACAGAAAAGAACCCAAACACTCTATCAGAGCCATTCACAGTGGCTTATACCTGTAATCCTAGCTATTTAGTAGACAGAGATAAGAGGGTCAAGGTTCAAGGTCAATAGTTACTGAGACTCTATCTCAAAAAAAAAAAAAATCCTCACAAGCCAAGCATCATTGTGCACTCTATAATCTCAGCTGTGCAAGAGGTGGAAGAGGATGGAAGTCTGAGGCTAGCTGGGCAAAACACATGAAACCCTACCTGAAAAGTAACTAAAGCAAGAAGGAGAAGAAGCATGGCTCAAGTGGTAGTGCTTGTCAAGCAAGTGAAAAGCCCTGAGTTCAAACCCCCGTATGTCCAATAAATAAACAGAACTAGTCATGCTATTGAGAGAAACAGTTCCAAAATGCACAATTGCATAAAGTTTGCAATATTAACTAAGGAAGCAACAGAGAAGCATTTTTTTTTCTCAATAAGGAAACAATCTCTTTCAGATTCTAAGGACATCAAGAAGGGCCAGCCCAATAGGCTCTGGGGCACTCCTACTGTATCTGTGAACTCTTCCAAGTACAAAATAACTCAGAATAGCCTTACCAATTCTCCTGGGAAAGACCATTATAACAAGCACAAAAAGATGATGGGACCACTTTCACCACACAGCTGGCAATTTGGACCAGCAGCTTCTTCTACTCTGGGTTCCAACGGACCACTGTACCCTGTACCCTGTGTGAGGGACAGCATTGTGGTTCTCCTTGCTCTGCCTGTTCAATTCTATATGATGGATTTGGTAAATGTAAGAAAAAATACAGGGCTGGCATTGTAGCTCTGCAGTATAGTATGTATTAATTGTGTATATATACATGTTTATTTATATATGTATATTTCAAATAGAAATTAAGCAAAAAAAAAAAAAAGCAAGGAAAGAACATGTAGGTAACATTAACTCATTAACTTATCTCCAAAACCTATCAGGAATAAATTTTATAAACCAACCTGGAACTGGTTCTCTTCTCCCCCACCTCCCAACCCCCAGGGTCTCACCATGTAGCTCAGGCTAACCTAGAATTCTTGATCCTCCTGCTTCAGCCACCAAAGTGATGAGATTACAGGCACGTGCCACCACACCCAGTTGCAACTGTTTCTTCACAGATGCCTTTAGGGATATATAAGATCTGAACTCTAAAATCTTTTGGGTCCATACACTGTCATTTTCAGGCTACCTAATGTCTTACTTGTTACCGTAAGACCTCATATTTCTAATTCTCCCAGACTTACTTCTGGAGCCTACGCCATACAGTTTTATCTATTTTACTTCAAATTATCTAGGAAACCGTTTTTCTTCCTGAAAACTTCACCTGCCACACCCAATTCAAATAATCCTGTGTCACAGATTCTCATCATTCAACAGATCCACCTTAAACCCTCCATTGGAACATTAAAAACAGGAACCCTACTCTAAATTCAGCTCTGCTTATTCCAAACACACGAAAGCAATTCTATAAGCTATGCAATAAGGACTATATATTGGCAATTAGGGGCCTTGTGGTCCCAAAGCACAATAAATTTCTCCTGTGGACACAATGCAACCCTATTCAGTAGTTCATTTGAGCATTTCACATTTCATTCCTAATGAGTACTAGTGGCAATGGAAGATGACAGAGACGCAGTGCCAACTTTTTACATAAAAACTTCTTGGATACTCTCAAAATAAATAGAAAAAGTCAATTTTTCTCCAACAGTAAGCACAGTAATACAAATGCTATTACTTGAAAGATTTGTCACATTGTCCAAAAAGAAAGGAAGAGAAAAAAAAACAAAGATTTGATTATGACTCTTCTCTCCACCCCAAAACAGAAAAACCATTAACCCAAAATTGTCTTACCCTCTCTCTCTCTTCCTCCTGGTGTCTTATTCCTTCTCCTTTCCAGGGCTCTTGAACTTTCTGTAAACAAATTGTCTAGGTTATAGGGACCAATAAGGGTGCAGCCACCAGAGAACTACAGAGAAGCCAGGAACTCCTTGACTGTCAGCAGTCAGTCTGCAAGGCAGGTCGACCCCCATTCAACAACTCAAAGATGGAAGGGTGGAGTACTAAGAATTCAGTGCCACCCTCCAGGTGGACACAAGGGAACTCAATCCAGTTCCCAGAAACTAAGATGAACTCTGTCACCAGCGTTTGGGTTCAACTCTTAGGCTTAGACACGGATTCTTCTTCTTTCCCCAGGGCCACAGGTAAGCAGGGGTCAGAGAACAGTAGAGGTGAAAGAGGAGGAGGATGCCTGGCCCCAGGGAAGTGGCTTCAGAAGGCAAAGCTGAGGGCTGGGAGGGGGATGCACAAGCCCTTGTGTCAGGCACAGTGCCAAGTTCAGGCCCAGCCACTTCCTCCAGCCTCCCCCTACTTCTTCGAGGACTTCGCTCCCTGCCTACCCAAGGCCTTGTGCCAAGAAGGACCTCCCTCAGCCTGCACAGTGGTCTATCTACTGAAGACCCGCTGTCCCCCCAAAACCTTCGCTGCCCTGAGACAGCCCCTAGGAGCTTTCTCCTGATGTCAACCCCCACTCCTTCCTCAAAGACCGTTCTTTGGGACGTCCCTCTTCCCCTCCAGGGAGCTGAACTCTGCCACCCACCAGACAGGCACCCGCCCCCTAAACCCCCCCATCGCCCGCTCCTCCAGAACCACTTCCGGTTCCGGGACGGACACACACACACACACACACACACACACACACACACATATACACACACACACACACACACACACAGTCACATCGTGGACCTCCCCCCCTCCCGCCCCCCCAAGGAAAAGGAGAAGGGGAGGAGCAGGAGCTTGGCGCGCGCCGGCTGCAGCAGCGCGAGACTCACCCGGCGGCGACGGCTGCGGCGGTGCCAGAGCCTGAGCCAGCACGCGGGAGGGGCGGCGTTTTCTGGGAAAGGAGGGAGCCGAGTCGGGTGGGAGGACCAGGAGGGGCGAGGGAGGGGTAGAGCGCGAGGCGGAGCGCGCGGGCACGCACCTTAGGCGCGAGACAGACCCACACACTCACACGCACGGAATGCGCGCGAGACACCCGGCAGGGCGGGGGCGCGAGGCAGTGGGTGGCCCCCCCTCCCTAACACTCACCCGGAAGTGTTGCTGCAGCTCGTGCTCCCGGGAACCCCAATGCTTCCACGCCCCCCTCCCTCCCTCCCCCCGACAGGCTCAAAGAAGAGTCACCCCGGAGAGAAGGCGGGAGCGCCGGAAACGAAAAAGGGGGGAGGGAGGGAAATAGCAATGGAGAGGGACCGGTAATAGGGAAAGGGCGGGGGGGTGGGGGGGCGGGTGCAAAGGCCGAGTCACTTCCGGGAACGTCCAGAACACATCCGGCGCTAATAGACTTTCGGGATACTGAGGGCGGAAGTTACGACAAGTAGGGGCGGAAGTGGCTTCTGCCCAGGAGGGGTAGAACCCTCGGAGGAAGTGACCGCATAGCGGAAGTGAAGGCGAGTTCTGTTAAGGGCAAAAGCTGAGTATTCGAACTGCGGCCCCGGGGTTCCGGAAGGGACTTCTGGGGGAAGCGGGAGGGTGGAAACACGACAGGTTCGCGAATTACACATCAAGGTACAAGACGAGGTATGGTTTCTTACAAGAGGAGGGTCTGGTTTCTTTTTCCTCTCATGGAATAGGCTGATGTAGGGAGATACCCTTTATTCCCTTAAACCTTCAAGAATGTCAGTGCTTTGAAAATTCAAGAAAGGGTGAGGATGTGTGTCAGTAGTCTGAGGTCCTTAGACCCAAATAGTACCATGAAAATCCGACCCATCCTCCTCTTTGATGACACCTCTTGCTCTCTTTACTTTGGTCTTTGCTTGTTGCCTTCACCCACATTTGTATCTTCTTACCCTGCTTTGCTTTTAAATATAACACTCATCGCTACCTGATATATTGTTTGGGAATTGCCTCTTCCGACTGATACCGGCTCCATAAGGGCAAAGACTTTGAATTTTCTCTGCTGTATCTTCAGATCCTGGCACTTATGTTACTGTCAGTAAATGTTTGTTGCATAAACAAACTACAGTTCACTATGAACACCTAATGCAAACTTCTAGGAAGCCTTCCCTGATTGCTCCAACCCAAAGTTTCTCTGAATTCTCACAGCATTTAGTTTATACCTTTTAATACTGTTTTACTGTTTTTGCTATTTCATAAATGTGATTACCCAGTAAGATTGTTGGCACCTCAGGGAAGAAACTACTCACATTACTTTGCTGAACACAAAATAGATGCTGAGTAAATATATATTGTTTGAGTGAATAAAGCTGCCTCAAGCCTGCATCTGGTCAAATCCCACTGGGCTCAGTTCTATTTTGGCTGAAGCAGACTTGAGATCTGCTTATTAACAGCAATGGCAATTTGGTGAGAAAGCAAAATGACCTAACAAATAATTGTAATGCCTGTTTTACAGGTAATAAAAATAAGACTCTGAGGGCTAAGGAGATTCCCCCCCCGCCCCCCGTCACAGCAAGGAGGTAGTAAAGGACACTTTTAAACATTAAATATTAAAATTAAGTGCTTAAATAGATTGTATCTCTTTGGTTTGTAATCATAGTTTGCATCTGGTCTTCATAACATTTTGGGGCTCAGCACTTAGTCTGTATTGACTAAGCACAGTTGACAGGATAAAGGGTTTAAGGGGTTAGATGTGACCTACTACTTAGGTTACTGATGATTGTTTTGAGAAACCTTGGCTTAGGGACTGGTATAGAAAAGAGGGTGCAAAACTGGGCATGGTGCATGCCTGTAATCCCAGCACCCAGGAAGGCTGAGGCAGGAGGGAGGTTATAAATTCGAGGCAAGCCTGGGCAGCACAATGAGATCCTGACTCGAGAGACAGAGAGAGAGAAGGAAGGGAAGGAGAGAGGGATATATAGAGAAAGAGAGGAAAGAAAAAGGAGGGAGGGAGGAAGGAAGGAGAGAGAAAGAAAAGAGGAAAGGAGAAATTACTGTAAGTCCTGATGAGCCTTAATGCCTCTGTCTATCCTGCTCCTGCCTTTATTATAACAAGCAAGTTTTAAGTGATTTGAAGTCCTTAGAGCAAAGCTTTGGAGCAGAGGGGGAGGAGGGCTGTTAGTTTTAGCCTGGGGTTGTCTAGCTGGCACACTGTTTCCATCTTGAATCACTTCTACACCCTGAGAGATCCCTCTTCCTTGGGGTCTTCTCCATTCCCTACTTGGGTCTAAGCCACACGGGTAAGTATTTTAGAAAAATGCTTAGGAAAAGCCTGGCTGAGTGACTTGATGCACCACCCAGGAGGCACAGAAAGCCTGGTGAGGACAAATGTTGCTTCCAGTGGTGCCTGTGATGTGTGGCCCCAAGAACCTTTCAATTCCCTAAAGAGCAGTACGGCTACTATTTTGTTCCTCCTTCCACTCTATTACTTGCAGCCTTTGGAGGATCTCCCAAGATCCCATAGCTGTCTTTTCAACTCTAGGAGAGAGAAAAGTTAGGGTCTGTTCCCCAGGGCCTCATGCTTTTTCATAGCATGTCAATTCACCTTAGTCTGGGATAATTCCTCCAGAACAATTCAGAAATCTAAAATTGTCTCCTTTCTCTTGTCTTTCCTTCAGCATCTGACTTTCCATGGGGAAGGGGACATTTAGGGAGAGGGAACAGGTGAGGAGTTCCAGTGTCTTGCTGGTGTATTTTAATTTATTTAAATGTAGGGAAACAGCAGTCTAATCAGACAGTAATTAATTCCCTCTTCATTAGGGGCCTTCATGTGTGCCTTCTGCATATGGATGAGCCACAGGGTCACGCTGTCCCTCTGAAGAGACAGTTGCTGAAGGTGAGAGCCCAGCCAGCAAGTTCTCTAGGCAACCTTCCCCTTCTGTGCTAACTCCTCCCCCTATTCCTGCGGGGAAAGCAGGAAAGGCTGAGGCTTCCTCTCCCACCCCTCACTGCCCCCAACTTAGCCCATCTGCATAATAAGCACTCATCCTGCACCCTCAGTTCCCGCTCAGCCTTTTGCCTTCCATCAGAGGTCTCAGGGATGGCTTCAGGACCACTGGGTTAACAGAGCCCTCCTCAGAAGGCTTGCTTGTCTGGAACCTCTGCTTGTAGTTGCTTCAACACTCCTTGGCTGGCTTCTTTCCTCTGGAGAAGTCGGTTCTTCTCTGAGGGAGTCTTACACCATGACTGCACACACTGCTCTAGTCCTGAGAAATACACACCTTCCTCCCCATACCCCCCCATACTTACCAAGTGCTGCAGGGACTTGGCTGCACAACCCACTCCCCCTCCCCACACACACACCCCTTACTGCAAAGTAAAGCTACCCAACTCCTAAAGCACACTCTTACCAACACATACCTTCCTAGTTCTAGCTCAAAGATAAACACACCCAGGCAGGTACAGTCCCAGGCAGCCCCCAATCTATTGTCTCCTATGCTCCCTGGGGCTACCCCATTTGTAGGGAGCAGGTGGGGCACAGATGAGGAGGGGGGAATGGGACCTGGGTGGTTACTATGGCAACAGAGCCTAGCAACAGCTGAGAAGCTGATGTGTGGGCTTTCCTAGGGCTGTTACAAGAGCCAAACCTAGAATTGGGGCCTCAGAGGTGACTGATCCCAGCTGGGCAGCCTGTGTTCCCTTGCCCAAACACACCCAAGTCCACCCCCACACCCCAGCAGTGCCTCTTTCTAGAGAGGGCAAAGTGAGGAAGGTTAATGAGCTTAACCACAGGGCTTCTAATGCTGCACAGCTTTGGGGGGGGCGGGGGCAATTTTGGGTGGGGACAGGTTAGGAAGCAAGGGTGAAATAAACCAAGCAGAGCAGATCCATCTTTCTCCTTTCACCCTTTACCCTCTATCTACCTTACAAGTTCTCTCTTCCTTTCCTGGCTTGCTTTATTACTTGTCCTACGTAATTTTTCCCTTTTCTCTGTCTCCTTTCTCTTGGTCTCTCTTGACCTTCACTGGCAAGGAACAATGAGCCACATTTCCGATTCTAATTTCTCTCTTGCACTCCTGCTCTTTAGCAGGGCTTGTCCCTTAGTTTCTCCTGCTTCCATTCTGTGCCAAGTTAAGGCCCCCTACCAGTTCCCAGCTCCAGGAGGAGCTGGTCAGGTCACTTCCAGTCTGGAGGAGTTCCCTACCTCACCTTTCTTTTCTCTCCTACCTCCCTACCCTTCTCCTCTTCTCTCTACATGGGTCATAAGGCAGAACCAGGGGACTCAAGTATCTTGCAAAGGCTTTATTTGTGAAAATTTGAAACTTACATCCCACAAGAATTCAAGATTATCACCACAAGAAGAAGAAAGAGATAATACAAAAATATATATCACAGCATAGGAACCAGGTAAGAGGGGAAGAAGGAAGATGGAAAAACTGGTGAGAAATAAGGAAGAACCTAGGAAAGGGAAAAAGCAGGAGAAAGAAGGAGGAATGACAGGAGGGGACATGAGGGAACCCAGGAAGGAAAGGGTTAGATGTGGAGGCAGCGCTCCTAATGGCCTTGAACCAGTCCCTGGCAGCCTAGGTGGAGTTAGGGAGGACCTAAGGGAGATTGGGAAGTGGAGGTCTGGCTCAGGAGGTTCTGAATTCCAGACACAGACAGACAGACAGACACACACACACACAGCCAGGAGAGATAACACAAAAAGGACTTGGGAGGAAGGGGAGGACAAATGGGAGTCCCTTTCTCATGTAATACAGCAGGCAACTCCCTAAAACCCAGCTCTCAGACAACAGAATTAGCAGTGGGGCTTCATTAGCTCTCAGAGTAATGCCAGCGCCCTTGGAGTTTAATGAGAGGACAGTGAAACAAATGACGTGGAATGGGATGGGCCCATGACAAATAAGGGCACAAGGAGTTCCCCAGCTCACCTCCTAACCCACCTCTGGGACAGCATGCAGGGGCCACAGAAACTAAATCAGCAGGTGTTCATGAGGCAGAGTGAGTGTGCCACGCCACACAAGCCACAGCATTGGGCCAGAAATGCACATGAGAGGTGATGAGGTATGCATGAAACACGGACTGCTGAATGTTTGAACTGGACACAGTGTGCGAAGGAGGAAAACATCAAGGAAAGTGTTAGTGACCAGCTGAGCAGACAGATGTGAATGGGGAGGGGTGCAGAAGCGCGGTGTGAAGAGCATGAGCATATGCTATGCTCTGTGAGGGTGGGGTGAATGTTCAAGGCTTTCATGTGAGTGTGCAAGGGTGGGAATGGGGGACCCAAAGTCACAAGTGTGTGAAGCCCCCAACTACAGGAGGGCAAGCAGATGGGCTTGCCCATGGGGCCAGTGAGTGTTCCAGGGTGGTGTGCAAGGGCAGGTAGCCAGGAGCCCCCGTGGCCCCAGCTTCCCACAGCTGCCCCACCCTCTGTGGGATGGCGGCTATGCCGGCCCCTTGACCTCCTGCTTGGCAGCACCCCAACATGGGGGGGCATCACAGATTCACCAGGGGAATCCTGAGAGGAAGAGGGAAAGGGTACAGTCAGGTACCAAGGGCTAGGCTGGAGTCGAAGGAGAAGTCCAAGACAGAGAAGGGGACTCAAGGTTAAGAGGGCAGAATTGGAAGTAAAGGGCAGCAGGAAAATAGGACATAGAGTCTGAACATGGGAGAAGGGCTCCTCCAGAGAGGGACTGGCAGCCTCCTTGGGAGGGTCTAGGACCAGGCCAGGAAGGAGAGCCAAGGGACATACATGGGAAGGCCAGGCCACCACCCACCCAGTAAGCACCCCCACCCCAGCTCTGTAGACCTCCTCACCCTCCCATCCCATTGCCCCTACCCTCACCGGTTCAACTGGAAGGCTGGAGCCCCCTTGGGCTGGGGCATCCCAGGCCGGGGTCCCCCTCGGGGCTCCTCATGGTCAGGGGTAGGGGTAGGTGAGTCCCCGAAGGCCCCCAGCACAGTGACTCCAGCCGGGGACAGGTCTGTCAGGGGCTGCTGGCTCTCCTCCTGCCTCAGAGCACCTTGCTGCCCTGAGGGCCTGCGCCGCTTCTGGCTGCGGTCCCAGCTGGTGCACCAGAAGGAAAGATGTCTTCTCACACACTCTAGTAGTCCCATCCTGGGCTTGCAGCACTGGCTGACCCTGCCTCCCACATGCACCTCCAACATCCTACTGCAAAGAAACTAGCCTGACAGTTCCCTACACTAATAGCCTGGGGCTCTGAGCTCATAAAACACTCCCCCTACCTCCCTCTAAACCATGTTCCTATCTTAATCCAGACCCACAGAATTAGTGTCCCTCCCCAACAACACAGAGTACCCTAAAATTGCCTCCTCTCCCATGCATGCTCAGAAGAGCCATTTCTCTCCTCCAGAAGCACCTGGAAGATTTAGTTCTAGTTCAAAGTTAGCTAATGACCCGGACACCTGAGTCTAATGATTCTCTCAGTAAAGTGTGAAGGACTGTGTGACCCATTATTAAATGTATGCGAAAGAAAGTTCCAGATTTTCTTCCTCTTGCCTGGAAGCCCTAAGAATTTTCTCTGTCTCGGAGGGATGCCCACCAAAGTCCCCAGGATACATAAATAATTCCCCTCCCTCCCATTTTCTGTGTATGTCTCTTCCAGAAAAAAGCTACACTGATTTTCTGTCCTGCTTCACTCAAAACGCTACCTTTTTCCCAAGGTCTTGCCTTCAGCCACTATTCCCTACTCCAGCCCCAGAAAAATTGGTCCCCTTGCTCCCTCCCTGCTTCCAGCTTGTTTGCAAACATTCAGTCAACCTTCTTCCTCCAGCTTACCAGAACTTGAAGATGATGCCGGTAGCCACGAGAACAATGATGACAGAGATGGTGATTGTAACATAGAGCTGAGGATCCACACCTGCTGGAGTGGAGGGAAAGTTGTTGGGAGGACTGAGGTGCTAGGAGCCAAGAGGCAGCTGGGGTGGAATTAGGCTGAGGAGTACTGGCACAGGAATCCACATTGCCCAACTCTCTTTCTCTTGAGCCTCCCTTACGAGCTTTTCCCTGAGTTTTCAGCTCTTTTCTTCCACTTCCCCTAATGTATTTCACTAAATCATACATGTACCTATCATGAGGACAAGGCTACAAGATTAGAGGGAATCTATCTCTCTGCATAGAAGTTAGGAGGTTGGTGTTCTAGCGTCTACCCTTGTCCAGTCCAAACTACTGGCCTTGTCCCTCCATGGACATTCCTTGAGCCAAGACATCACTGGTAGTCCCCTTCCACCATGGTGTTCCTTTGCCTGGAATACCCCCATAGTTTTCAAGGTCCAGCTCAAATGTCAATTCTCTGAGCTGTTCTGATCCCCAGGCAGAAGTCTCTCACTTCTCTATTTTCCTACAAACATGCTGTGCGTGCCTGTATTAGAGCACTTATTATGTTGACTCATCCCCGAGTGTTTACACATCTGTCTTCTCCAGTGGACCTAAACTCCTTGAGGGCTCAGCCGGCATCTTCATCTCTGCATCCTTGCCAGTATAGAGCCTGACACATTTGCTGAAGAAGCTCTCAGGTAAGGCCTGTATTTCTGCTGTTTAATCTTCAAACCGCCTCCCCACCCTCACATCCCTACCAGCCTTGTCCCTCACCTTCTCCATGTCCACCGAACAGGAATGGCCTCAGGGTGGCAGGTGTTTCTCCAAGGATGAGCCCGTCTCCATCATCTCGCATGGAGTCTGAGTTAGGGTGTGGAGTAGCCAGCCCATGGGGGGCTGCAAAACCATAGTCCAGGGGCAGAAATCCAGGATTGACTGAGTTGGGGTCCCCCCCATCCTCTCGAGACACTGTAGGGCCCCACACAATAGCCCAGGGATACTGGGATGATGGTGGTCCTTCCTCAAAGCCCGACGGAGTGGCAGGGGGCGCAGTGCCTGGCAGAACTTGCCGACGTGATCTTGGAACCCGAGGAGATCGGCTTGGTGGAGGTGCCCGTTCCCACACGCACACATGGCGTGGGGCTGAGGGGCCACCCCGAACACAAGGAGGGCGGGCTGGGGCTGGTGGGGTTCGGGGGGAGGAGGATGAGGAGCCCTGAGCAGGCGGTGGGAGGGGCAGCAACAGCAGTGGCCAGAGAGGGAGGAAGTGGGACAGCAGCAGAGCAGGCCTGCAAGAAGGGAGAGAAAGCAATAAGACCCAGACCCACATGGGCCTGTGTGTGAGGAGGGTAGGTTCACACCAGAAATCCCAGGATGCCTCCCTCCAAGTTTCTCTCCAAGAACCAGTGAGCCTTGGGAAGAACCTAGCCTTATATCCTCCTTCCGAGGGGCTAGCCCTCAGGATGGGAGGCCCTGAATGGGCCTAGGAAGGTCAGGGCCAAGCCCCCAGAGAAAGTGGTCTCCAAGCTCCCCCTGCTGGGCCAAACTTACCACATCCTGCACTCCATGTCGAGGTCTTCCTCAGCTGTGACCCAGATTTTCAGCTTTTACTGGGGGGAAAACGGAGTCGTCAGACCCTAACCTGCCCTGTGCACTTCTCCAACTCATTCATCTGCCACTTTTATCCCCATTTCCCCTCCCAGGCTGCTCAGCTGACAGCATGCTGCTGCCACCCCCCAGGATCTACTCCTTCTTAGCATCCTTTTAGGGCAAAAACTCTAGAGTGGTTTCCTAAATAGCCCCTAACCCCATGTACAACTTTCTGGGTGGGTCCCTTTTACCTCCTGCCCTAGGGTCTACCCTTGTTTCTCTGTCTTCCTTTCTTCTCACTTCCTCTGCCCACAGCTCCAGGCTTTTCTTGGATCTTAATTTAGAGCCAAGAACCTTGTGATTCCTTGAGCACCTATCGCTAGGGAGGGAATCTAAGGGTGGGGGAGGGAAGGGAAGTCAATCTGAGTGAGTATATGCACGCACTCAAGTCTGGGAGGGGAGACTTCCAGCCCTCCCACCCCACTTGTAGTCCCAGGCATTTCTCTTATTATGGGCCCCCAGGAGTCTGTATCTTCAGGAGGAAGAACTGGAGCAATGGGAGGAAAGAGACACAGAGAAAGGTGGGTGGGAGAAAAACTACAGAATATAGTTTTTAATGTTTAATCATCCAAATGCATAGGTGCTCTCTGAAGGGAGGTGGAGTTGGGAAGAAGCCACCCCCTCAAATGCCGCTCTCCTGGGTAAAGTCCTGGGAGAATGTGGTTGGTTTTGAAAGAGGAGGGGCATGTTCTCAAAGCTGAGGGTGGAAGATCCAGGGGGCCAGTCTCCCTAAAGTGAATGAGGATATGACACACAGAGTTCTCTGGTTTCTAAGTCTAACTAAATTTACACATTAAATAGTCCCAGAAAAAATAAGGGAAGAGATGGGCAAGTCTGGGGATGAGAACGGGGAGGTGGGCCTTCGGGAGAGAGGGGAAGGAGGTGAAGGGCTGGGAGAGGGAAGGTTGGTCCAGAGTGATGAGGAGAAAGGCAAAGAGGAAGCTACCTAGAGTTCAGAGTAAGGGTGACAGGCACCCCTGAAAGGGAGTAATTGGGGAAAGAAAAGGGGGGTACAGAAAACAGAACTGCAGAGGATGCTGAAGGGAGAAAGGCATGAGAGAAAAGGTCAGAGAGGAGAAACTGAAAGGGTAAAGAGGCAAGGGACAGGAGGAAGGAAGGACCCAGGCAGGATAGTCAGAAGTGGAAGACAGTGGAAGGGGAAGGGAGAAAAAGAAATGGAGAAGCCCAGGGATGGGAGAAAGGAAGTGAGAAAGGAGAGAACATAATATTGAAGACAAAATGAGAAGAGTAAGGGAATAGGGACAGAAAAAAAAAACAAAAAACCCAGCAAAGATGGAGGAGTTAGAAATTATTTCTTCAAATATAAAGGGATATGGAGACAGGGCTAGGGGTATGGTGAAAAGAGATGTTGATGGAAAGAGCTGAAGACAAGGTACAGAGAAGGAGGCTAGAGGAGGGACTGAAGAAATGGTCGAGGGAACCAGTGGAGCGGAGAAGGGCTCATGGGGACATCTGTGGCCAGCAGACTCCAGAAGCCACCTGACCCTTCGTCTGGTGCATACCCCACTATCAACGTCAACTCCAGCACCTGCGCCTTGACCCCTTTAGTCACCCCCTCCAGGAAGCCCGCAGTCCCCAGGCATGGCTCTCAGCCCCCACCCACCTCTCCCCGCTCCTCACCGACCTGTTGTGCGCAGGAGATGTGCTGGGGGTGGGGCGGGAGACTTGGGGTTGGGGAGCCGGGCCCCATCCCCAGCGTTGTCCCCCAATCCCGCCAATCCCACAGGCCCGCGCTCCCAAGGCAGGGCTAGAAAGCGGCGCGTGCGGGTAGAAACCAAGGAAAAGGTGGTCGGCAATGGGTCTTGGAGGGAGGGAGCGCTGAGAGTGGAAAGAGAACCCCAAGCAGGAGGATGCTCCAAGCCGCGGGTTGAGCTGAAGGCAGGAGGAGGCAGCTGCGGGGACGCTGACTGCCGCACCAGGAAGGCAGGATGGAGTCGGGACGGCGGAGGGATGGAGGGCACGGTGGAAGGGAGCTCTGGGGGTGCTGGAGCTGGAGGCGGGGTAGGGACCGCGCTGGGAGGGAAAGGAGGCTATAGGCGCGGAGCGGAGAAGAGCAGGGCCGGGCTCCCTCCGGGTGGGGGCGTTGAGGGTCCCCCTTGCTCACCTGCATGCCTGGTGCGGCGGCGCGAGGACTGCGGGCAGTCGGGGCTGCGCGGGGCTGGGGGGTCGCAGACGCGGGTGGGGCACGGGGCATGGTCGGGAGGTTTGGTCGGCAGCAAAGCTCTGGAGCTGGAGGTTGGCGGGGGGAGGCCGGCGGGCGCCAGGGGCGCGGGGCGGCGGCGGGAGATGCTCGCTTCGGCTCGGCTCCGTTCGGCTCCGGCTGCGCTCGCCTCGGCTGGGCTCGGCACGGCGACTTGGACCGCTCGGTCCCCGCCTCTCCCCCGCCCGTCTGTAGGCCACGCACGGTTTAACCCTTCTGCTGCCGTGCTGCAGGAGTCGAGCCCAGTTTTGTCCCAGGTGTAGGGTTGGAAAGGACAGCAGGGATGGGGAAGGACAAACTTTCAGTTCTCCGGGTTCTGATGGAGGGTTCCTCCACACCCCTTACCCTAACCCCATGGTCACCCACGGTTGTCCCAAGCAGTTCTGAGATTGAGTTCCCAACTCTGTTTTGCTCTGGTGGAGAGGGGCCAACGTCAAGGCCATGGGTGAGAGGTAGAGGGAGGGACAGGGGAGAAGATGGCACACTATCATTGGAATATACCAACGGCTTGATCCCATATTTCATTCTGGTCCTGCTACAATACATTTTCTCTGAAGCAAACCAAATATTTAAAATAAGTGCATCCGGTTTCAATCACTGTACTCCTCTCTTCTAGCACTCAGAATATTCAAACGCCTTACTGTGATTTACAAGGCCTTATAAATGCCTGTTTCTCGTAGGAGTCTGTGATTTCCTTTCCTAAAGATTTCTATGCCTCAGACACAGTGGACCTGATATATGTTCCTAGAAGGAGACAGGGCCTTTGCATTTGCTGTTCCTTCTGTCTGGAATGCTTTTTTTCCCTGGCTTTCCACGATGACTCATACTTGTCATTCCACTCTCACTTAGATCTTCTGCGAGGCACATATGAATAAAATAAAAATTAAAAAAAAAAAGATCTTCTGGGAGGCCTTCCCTAATCTCTGTACCAAAAGTAGATTCCTTTGTCCTTACTACCACCCCCTCAGACCCTATCCTCCTCTCTCACATTAACCTGTTTTTATTTTCTCCTTCACTTCCACATCACATTCTCCAACTTCATTGGCTGTCCTTTCTTTGTCTTCCTCAGTTCTGACCTCTAAATGTTGGAGCCTCCCAGGGTTTAGTCCTTGGCCTTCTTCTCTTTTTACTTTCTCTGTCCAGTGATCTCATCCAGTCCTAGGGCTTAAATATTATGTAAATGTCAGTGAGTCCTAAATTTATATCCAGAGCTCCAGACTCATTTATCCAACAGCCTACTTGACATCTCCACTTGGATGTCTAATAGCCGTGCAAGCTTACGTGACTAAAATAGATGTCTTGAATTCTCCCACTCCCAATCCATTTCTCTCCCAGTGTTCCCCATCCTGGAACATGACAACTCCTAGTTGTTCAGGCTAAAAACCTAGGATAACTCCTGGTTCCTTACCTGTATCTAATTCATCAGCAAGTGCTTTTGGCTCTGCCTCCAACGTATGTCCTGAACCTATCCCTTTCATCTTTATTGCTATAATCCTGGTCTAAGCCATCATCCCTTATTTGGGGTATCAAAATAGTTTCCTGGCTGCTCTATCACTCTACCCTTGCCCCTTTACAAACTAGTCTTCACAGTTATCAGTAGTGTGTGTGTGTTTTTCCTTGGGCTTGCTAGGCAGTTGCTCTAAGACTTGAGCCACACCCCCAACCCTTTTTTACTTTAGGTTTTGTATCATTTTGTTTTGTTGGTACTGAGGTTTGAAATAAGGGTTTCATGCATGCTAGGCAAGCCCTCTACTACTTGAGCCATGATCCCAGTCCTTTATCTTTAGTTATTTGTTCACTAGGGTCTTGCATTTATGCTGGTACTGGCCTTGATCATGATCCTCCTGTTTATGCTTCCCAGGTAGCTGAGATGATAGGTCCACCATACCCATCTTTATTGCTCAAGATTGATTTGCTTGGTCTGCCCTCCAAACCCATGAGCCTCCTGATCTCTCCCTTCTGAGTAGCTAGAATTTTAAGTGTGAGCTACTGCATCTGGCATTTATCATATAAATATCATATATATTTTATATATATATATAATATCATATATATTTTAAAATCTAAATTGTATCAAGCACTTCCCTGTTTAAAATATTCCAGCGAGGCTGGAGGCATGGCTCAAGTGGTAGAGCACCTGCCTAGCAAGCACAAGGCTCCAAGTTCCAAACCCAAGAACATAAAAAAAAATTCAAGTGGCAAGTGGCTTTTTATTGTACTTGTAATAAATGTGAACTCCTTGTAAGGAGAAGCCTACCAACTTGTACTCCCCTCATACACAAAACAAACTTCTTGTTCTAGAACATCAGAAATCATCCTTTAGCATTCTTGCACTTTGATTCCTGCTCCCTAGAGTGCTTTGCATTCTCCATCTTTACCTGGTTGACTCCTTGGCATTCAGATCTCTATTCAAAATCTAAAATGGTCCTCAATTGTAATTCATTGTTTTTCCCATTGCTTTCTGGAATGATCTTATATTTGTTTCCTATTTATAGTTGAGAATAAATATCTCATTTGTCTTGTTCACCTTGGCTTCCACTGTGCCTAGACATATGGCAGATGATTGATATTTATTGCTTGTGAACTTTGTCTGGGACCCCTACCCACTCAACTCTTCATTATCTCCTTGACTCTCCCCCTGCCTTCCCTTTCTGCGTGACCTCCCTGATCTCTACACTGAGACTAAAGCTTCAGGATGAGTCTGTTCACATACACTCCCCTCCAGGCTTTCCCCCTTCCTCTACTGCATTATTATTGTCATTAGCCTTGCACTCCCACCTCCCGGAAGGAAGCATGCTGTTGAGAGCAGCATCTGCAGGAACCAGTCCTCCTCCTTGCCTATCCCTGACAGCCC